TCAGAAAGAGGATTCGAATATTGGTCTTTTATGCGAATTCCAGCACATTAGTCAAATTCTCTGAGTCTAGAATCACTTACTTTCTTAAAACAGGATTATAATATTGACCTTCAGAGTGCCATGGAAACCAAATAAAAGCATGAAAGAGCTTTAAAACTATAAACGTCAATAGTAATATCTATAATGCCAAATATTTTGTTAAGAACTAGGATGACTACCCTATAATGAAGCCACAGAATCTAGAAGCTAAATTGGATTAGACAGGAAGTAAAGGTTGAAATTTCTGGCCCCCAATTGTTTGTATGATTTTGCTAGTGTGTGTGATATATAATATTACTGATATTATCTAAAGTCAACCTTGGGAGGCCAGTTTCTTGAATAATTATCACCTTACAATATTACTGAAATGCATTCATTATTAGTTGAAGTTATAATTATCACTGATAGGTTAGATTACATTAACTTGTCTTTTGGTTAACCATGAAATCTGACAGAAGGCAAATTTCTGCACTTAAGAAATGTGTCGAAAGCTAAAATGTATTATATTCTGAAAAGTTAGTTCATGTTTATTAATGAACAGTGAGAAAACATCAAGAAAAACCATAATGTGATGTGATTAGGCATGAAGTGCTATGGAATTACAATGCACAGAATTCCTAACTTTGCCTGGGGGAGGCAGAAGAGGTTTCACAGAGGATCAGACTTTTGAGTCTTGTTAGGCAGACAAAGGCATTCCAAGGGCAGGTGGCATGTGCAAAGACAGGGCTGAGAAGAGCATGGAGAGTGCTAGATGCTGAAGTAGAGGAAGAGGGATAAGAAATATGGATGGAAGGGTAATCCTGGGGTGTATTATTATCAAAATAATGCTGTAGTTTAGACTTTACCCTGGAAAGTCATCCTAAATTTTAAGCAGAGGGCTAGTTTTCGATTTTTTAGAATTAATATGATAGTTCCTACAATGGCCTGGAACAGCAAGAGACTAGAGGCTGGAAGATCAGCTGGGAAACTGCACTAGTCCGGGTGAGAGGTAATAAAGTTCTTCATTAGAGTGGTAAGCTAGGAGAAGATGGACAGGATGTGATAGTTAGTTATTCAGCAGAGAGAACCGATAGGACTTGTTAACCAATTAGTGTGAGGGAAGGGGAGAACTCAGGATGATTTGGAGATTCTGAGAGAGAAAAGGTTTGTAATCTGTCAAGAGAGCAGTAATTAGATCTATATGGAGAATTTTCTACTAGCTAGGTTAAGTCAAATTAGATAGTAAATTTCTGAAGTAAGCTCAAACACAGCCTTGAAGTATAAGATGTGCTACTGAGGATGACCTATATAACACATGACAAAGTAAGTATAGATGCACAGATTTTAGAATAATTCTGAAAAAAATTGACTAGTGGATAAGTTTATAAAATCCTATTAGGAATAAAGCATAGAATGCAAGATTAAAAACAAAATATCACATAGACAATAAAAATGTACTTAAAACTTTGTATTTTTAAACAACTTGGTATTTCACAGTCATTCATTGAGCCATCCAACCAGTAAACAATTACTTTGCACCATCTATGTACCTGGAAATATACCTGATGCTGGTGGTTGTATGTTGTTTGGTATTTCTGGAGTACTAGGTCGTTCTACTGAATTTATAAATAAATAATTCACTTTATATTTGTTTTTAAGTAGACAGTCCAGAGCACCACTATTATGTATTTGGAAAAAGTGCTGGGGCCAAGTAACCTGGGTGATACAAAAGTCACGTGACAGATGAGGGGCTTCCTCAAATCTTACATGCAAGGGCACTGTTGACACCAATGGCTTAAACATATTCACAAGGAAAGAGGTCTGTTTTTTAAAGAAACCAGGTTGGATCACTGACTCAGAGGGTGCAAGGGCACTGTTGACACCAGTGGCTTAAACATATTCACAAGGAAAGAGGTCTGTTTTTTAAAGAAACTAGGTTGGATCACTGACTCAGAGGGAAATGCTGCAATACGGGAACAGCTTGAGATAGTCAGAATGAAAATATTACATGCATTACCTTAAACAGTAGTTCAGAGAAGGAAAAAAAAACAAAACAGAGTATAGAAACCAAGAGAGAAGCCATGGCAGGAAGACAACTTAGGCCTGAAGAAAGTATGAGTAAGGTTTGGGCAAATGAAGTGGGAGGATGGCCCATATTTTAGACTTGGAGTAAGCAGAAAAGGTAAGAAGTTAAAGGAATTAAGAGCAGTCTTTCAAATAACATCTGAATATGAGCTGGAGCAGACAGTGTGAGAAACGACATGACCTGAGGAAGTCCAAAGGTGGGAGACAATCTTAAAAGATGATAAAAATAATGAGAAATTAAAAGTGTTGACATCACCATAAGAACAAATTTTTTCCTTCTAATCTTTGCCCTAACTAGGAATTAGGAATGTTTTATTTGTAAGCAGAAGGGACTGTTCTATAAATTGAAACCTTCAGCGAGTAACAGCATTAGTAAGTGGAACAAGTCGAGTGTATCTGGTTCTCGCATTAGTAAGTGGAACAAGTCGAGTGTATCTGGTTCTCTGAGCTGCCCTCCTTGAGGCATGCCCACCTCTGTGTGCACGCTGCCCCACCCAGGCAGCTCTGACTGCCCATGGCATCATCCTGAGACAAGGCACAGGGGTTGGAAGAACTGAACGACCGCTCGAGGACTTCCTCTGAGATCACAAACTCTTCTCAGCCAGTACTTTGACACATAAGTAACATACATTCCCTTCCCTTCCCCCTTTCTCCCATCTCCCTTTTTTCCTTTTCTCCTCCCACTCTTCTATTCATCCAATATTTATACTCAGCCAGATACTGTTCTACGTCTTCATAGCAGTGAAGACCCAGTTCCTGGCCACTTGATGCTTATGATCTATTATTTACAATTTTTGTTTTGCTTTCTTTTACAAATGCAATATAAAACAAAGGACTGAGAACAGGATAAGAGGATGGAGGGCAATGAGCTGTTATTGACATAGGATGGCTGGGGAAGGGCACCCTCAGGAAGAGGCAGCATGAGAGCAAAGTTCTGAGTGGAATAAAGCAGGACATACTCCAGGAAGAGGGAACAGCAACTGGAGAGTCTCAAGGAACTAACCTGCCTGGGCTGTTGCTTACCTAATATCTACTATCCCTTCCTTTTTCACTATCAGAGTTCTGATTTTATTCTACGTGGCACTGTGTTCAGCTAGAAGATGACATTTCCCACTCTGTTTTGCAGCTACAGAGGTGCTTCTAGAAAGGGTTTTTTTTTTATTTTTTTTATTTTTAAAGAAAGAAAAGATGACTCACTGAGGAGGTATGCCCTTTGGCCCACCTCCACCTTCCCCATCCAGGAACATCAATGCCTAGAGCTGCAGCGGTCATCTCGGACGTGATACTTAAAATGGAAGTTTGGCTAATGATGGTAGAAGAAAAAGACAGAAGGACTCAGACTTCCTGATGATACCGTGGAATCTCTGGGCCATTCCCAGCACAATCTACTTTTAAATTTCTTTAACATAAGAGAAAAATGAAAGCCATAATTATTTAGGCCACTAGAGTATGGGGGGAGGATAACCACTACTTTCAGCTGAAAGCATTTCTAAACTATTCGGAGGCAAGGCCTAGGAACAGAGGTGAGTTGTGAGAACACTGCAGTAATCTGTGTGAGAAATGACCAGGGTGGCAGCGGTAGAGGCGGTAAAAGTGATGGGATTCTAGACATATTTTGAAGGTAGAGCTAACAGGGATTTGCTGACAGACTGGACGTGGTATATGAGAAGAAAGATGAGACAAAGGTAACTAGAAGGTTTGGGACTGGAGTAAATGGATAAATGGTAATGCCATTTACTGAAATGAGAAAAAGAGAAGGAGTAGATCTGGAGGGAAGGAGAAGATCCAGTCTTGTGTTTTGGACGGGTTAAGCTGGACAGCCTCCTAGGCAGCTGAGTGGGAATGCAAATAGGCAGTGGTGTAGATGAGTCGGGACTGGACACTGGACGTAAAGCCGGGGGCCTGGATGAAGTCACCTAGAGCAGTGACGGTATTAAAGGGGAAAACGTTTGAGAAATGGTGTCTAGAACACTCTGACATTTAAAGGTCATAAAGAGAAGACAGATCTAACAAAGGAGGGTGAAACAGAGCGGTCAGCTGGGAAAACACCAGGTAAGCCCAGCATCCCGGAAGACAAGTCAAGGACATCCTTCATGAAGGAGGAGGTAAGCTGTGCTAAGTACATTGTCAGGCCCAGAAAGCAGAGAACTGAGAATCAGACCTGGGTCTGGCGGCACGGAGGGCACTGGCCACCCTGCAGAAGCAGCCTCCCTGGAGTGCAGGAGTGGAGGAGACAGTGAAGACAGAAATTCTTCAGAGGAAATTTGCTACAGTGGAAAGTGGAGCTGTAATTGGAAGGGGAGAGTAACTGGAGACTTGAGAGCTGGATTTTATTTACTAATGTCCTTAAAGTGGGCAGGTGTCACAGCATATTTATATGCTGACTGGCAAGAAGATGATGGTACAGGAGAGACAGAACAGCAGAAGTAAAGCCCTTCAGGAGGGGAGGGGAGGCAACCAGTGCCCACAGGGAGCAGCTGTTGCAGGTGGGGTGGCAGACCTGGGGAGCAGGCCGACCTGGGGACAGGAAGAGGGAGATGTTCTCTTCCAGGTGCTCACGTTTTCTCAATGAGGTAGGAGGCAAGGTTTCTAGCTGAGGACAAGAAGAGGGGAAAGGGGAAAGGGTGTCAGAGGTTTGTGGAGAGGAGAAAGTATAAAAGGGGGATGGAGTGAGTGAATTCATTAGACAAGTACAGTAGGATTGCCAGGCAGAATCTGAGGGCCCATCTGGGGTCTCTGGTCATGATTTAAAGTGAAACCAGTCACTTTAATGACCAGTCATTTTTCTTATAACCATTTCAGCTGCTCAAGGGCAGGTGTGGAATAAGCAGCATAACAGCCAAAAAGAAGAGAAAGGGAGTTGATTGCATTACAAGGTATAATCAGTGGATATTTACCTGGTTTTCGTTCTAAAAGCTGTTGTAAATGAAACACGGCTCGTTCGTAGTCCTGTTTTCTGAACATGAGATCTGCCATCATCTATAAAGGTAAACGTTGGTTCTAAAAATATTGCCATATATTTTACAAAGCATAGTATTCCTATCAAGATTGGTTGCTATGAAAACACATATGAGAAACATGAGGAGGGCAAAGTTTTATAAAACGGAGCCATTTAAAAGTCAAGTACACCTTAAGCAGATTAGCACTGAGATCAGTATAACAGAAGATAATCAAGGATGTGAAACATTTCTGTTTGCAAAAACTGTATTTTTAGCATAAAATATGTTTCAAGCAGTTATTCTAAAAACAGAAACTTGAAGGGAACTGCACACTCTCTGTGTCTCACTTGGCTAAAATAACGAGAAGATTTTAAAAGAAAACGCAGAACATTCTGAAACCTTAAGTATTTCAAAGGAATTTAAAATGAGCAGGTGCTTTAAAAGGGAGAGGTCTTATTTTTCTTTTCAGTTACACGGACTCATTTGTAAAATTATTAAATGAACCTCACAAACTGTCATCTATGTAGCTGTTTGAAAAGCTACCAAAAACCTCAACCCAGGTAAAAATGAGAAAGAAGAGCAAAACTCTATTTAATAAACACACACCTTAAAATGATAACATGAAGAATTTTTTCTGTAACTCAGAAAGTGCCACTGAAACTGGTAACAGTTAGTCTTTAGCAAATTAGAGCTTTACCACATGAACTCCTCCTGACCAAGCATAAAGAAAAATTAACTAGGCCCAAAAAGGGCAAGCAAAAACCTGACCTAAGTTCACCATTCTCATAAAATAAAGAGAGTCTTGGCGTTTATTGGTAAAATATACTAATAATGTTAAAAGTGTTATTTCTTCCAAAAGCCAACATGAGCCAGGCATCTCATCTACTATTACTTTTATCAGTTAAAATTTGAAACTGCCCCATGGAATCAATATAAAACACAACTGCCTTTACAGCAGTGAAGTCTCCTGGACTAACCATGGTGGCAGCTTCATTGTCCTGGTCGCTCTGGAGAAGCAGAGCGCAGTGCCGCAGGCAGGCGTCAGGGTCATCTTGTGCCAGGTATAATCGTGCCAGCTCCAGCATTATCTACAGAGAAGAAGGGCAAGATTAGTCAGAAAATGTTTGGAATAAAAAGTGAAACAAGAAAATGTGTAGGCACAGATGAAACTTTATTTGACCAAAAGTTATTGCAATAAAAAGGCCAAGCATGATAAGCAGGAAAACTATAGGTTTGCTCATCTCTAGTTTCTCTTATACTGGAAAAAAAAAAAAAAAAAGGAAAAACAGGCTGTGCCTCACTTGAAAAGTACAGAGACACAAAGCATTGTGACAAGAACACTGGTCTTAAATTAGGAGCTACGATTCTAGTCCAAGCTTCTCCATGATGGGGCCCTTTACCTCTCTAAACCTGTTTCCTCATTTGTAAAATAAAACGCTTGAAGCAGATATGCTCCAGATGTACAACTATGATTCCAGTTACTTTAGTCACCACTGAACAAGGTACCTATTTGGTTATGACTTAATACATATTATCTTTGCCTTACATCTGAAAGAGTTGTATTATTTCAAAACGTCTAATCTTAAACTTTAAATTCTAGAACATGGTTGTCTCGTGTTCTACATCACTTATTTAAATATTTAGCCATTTACTAGCGTATTGTTTTAAAATGTTGATCATCTATCAAGATCTGAGAGTAATAACATTTTAGTTTATAAAACTGGCCATGACAACCAGTGGATCACTGAAGAAATCAAAGAGGAAATCAAAAATTACCTAGAGACAAATGACAATGAAAAGATCTTCATGATCCAAAACATATGGGATGCAGAGAAAGCAGTTCTAAGAGAAGTTTACAGAAATACAATCCCACCTCAGGAAATAAGACAACTCTCAAATCAACAACCTAACCTTAACACCTAAAGCAACTAGAGAAAGAAAAACAAAGAAAACCCAAAGTTAGTAGATGGGAAGAAGTCATAAAGATCAGAGCAGAAATAAATGAAATAGAGACTAAAAAAAATAGAAAAGATCAATGAAACTAAAAGCTAGTTCTCTGAAAACATAAACAAAATTGATAAACCTATAGCCAGACTCTTCAAGAAAAAAAGGGAGAGGGCAAAAATCAATAAAATTAGAAATGAAAACGGAGAAGTTACAACGGACACCACAGAAATACAAAGGATAAGAGACACTACAAGCAACTATATGCCAACAAAATGGACAATCTGGAAGAAATGACAAATTCTTAGAAAGATACAATCTCCCCATACTGAATCAGGAAGAAATTGCAAATATGAACAGACCAATCACAAGTACTGAAATTGTGATAAAAAAACTTCCAACAAACAAAACTGCAACACTAGATGACTTCACAGGTAAATTCTACCAAACATTTAGAGAAGAGTTAATACCTATCCTTCTGAAAGTATTCCAAAATACTGCAGAGGAAGGAACACTCCCAAACTCATTTTATGAGGCCACCATCATCCTGATACCAAAACCAGACAGAGATACCAGAAGAAAAGAAAACTACAGGCCAATATTACTGATGAACACAGACGCAAAAACACTCAACAAAATACTGGCAAACCAAATCCAACAATACATTAAAAGGATCATACACCATGATCAAGTGGGATTTATCCCAGGGATGTAAGGATTCTTCAGTATCTGCAGATCAATCAGTGTGATATACCATATCAACAAACTGAATAAAAACCATATCATCATCTCAATAGATGCAGAAAAAGCTTTTGACAAAATTCAACACCGATTTATGATAAAAACTCTATAGAAAGTAGGAAGAGAGGGAACATACCTCAACATAATATAGACCATATATGACAAACCTACAGCTAACATCATACTCAATGGTGAAAAGCTGAAAGCATTTCCTCTAAGATCAGGAACAAGACAAGGATGTCCCCTCTTGCCACTCTTACTCAACATAGTTTTGGAAGTCCTAGCCCTGGCAATCAGAGAAGAAAAAGAAATAAAAGGAATCCAAATTGGCAAAGAAGGAGTAAAACTGTCACTGTTTCCAGATGACATGATGATACTATACATAGAAAATCCTTAAGATGCTACCAGAAAACTACTAGAGCCCGTCAATGAAATCAGTAAAGTTGCAGGATACAAAATTTAATACACAGAAATCTCTTGCATTCCTACACACTAACAACGAAAGATCAGAAAGAGAAATTAAAGAAACAATCCCATTTACCATCAGATCAAAAAGAATAAAATACCTAGAAATAAACCTACCTAAGGAGGCAAAAGACCTGTAATTCTGAAAACTATAAGACACCAGTGAAAGAAATCAATGATGACACAAACAGATGGAAAGATATAACATGTTCTTGGATTGGAAGAATCAACACTGTCACAATGACTATACTTCCCAAGGCAATCGACAGATTTACTGCAATCCCTAGCAGATTACCAATGGCATTTTTCACAGAACTAGAACAAAAAATTTTAAATTTGTACAGAGACACAAAAGACCCCAAATAGCCAAAGCAATCTTCAGAAAGAAAAACGGAGCTGGTGGAATCAGGCTCCCTGACTTCAGACTATTCTATAAATCTACAGTCATCAAAAGAGTATGTTACTGGCCCAAAAACGGAAATATAGATCCATGGAACAGGATAGAATGCCCAGAAATAAACCCATGCCCCTATGGTCAATTAATCTACAACAAAGGAGTCAAGACTATGCAATGGAGAAAAGACAGTCTCTTCAATAAATTGTGCTGGGAAAACTGGACAGCTACATGTAAATGAATGAAATTACAACATTCTCTAACACCATACACAAAAATAAACTCAAAATGGATCAAAGACCTACATGTAAGTCCAGACACTATAAAACTCTTAGAGGAAAACATAGGCAGAACATTCTCTGACATAGATTGCAGCAATATCTTTTTGGATCCACCTCCTAGAGTAATGGAAAAAAAAAAAACCAAAAACAGATGGGACCGAATTAAACTTAAAAGTGTCTGCACAGCAAAGGAAACCATAAACAAAAAGACAACCCACAGAATGGGAGAAAATATTTGCAAACAATGCAAATGACAAGGGATTAACCTCCAAAATTTACAAACAGCTCATGCAGCTCAACGTTAAAAAAGCAAACAATTGAACCAAAAAATGGGCAAAAGATCTAGACATTTCTCCAAAGACATACAGACGGCCAAAAAAGCACGTGAGAAGATGCTCAACATCACACTAATCATTAGAGAAACGCAAATCAAAACCACAATGAGTTATCACCTCAAACTGGTCAGAATGGCCATCATCAAAAAGTCTACAAACAGAAACAGATGCTGGAAAGGGTGTGGAGAAAAGGGAACCCTCCTACACTGTTTGTGGGAATGTAAACTGGTAAAACCACTATGGAGAACAGTGTGGAGTTTCCTTAGAAAAAAACTAAAAATAGAACTATTGTATGATCCAGCAATCACATTCCTGGGTGTATATCCAGAGAAAACCATAATTCGAAATGATACATGCATCTCACTGTTCACTGCAGCACTATACAACAGCCAAGACATGGAAGCGACCTAAATGCCCATCGACAGAGGAATGGGTAAAGAAGATGTGGTCCATATACACAGTGGAGTACTACTCAGCTATTAAAATAATGAAATAACCCCATTTGCAGCAGCATGGATGGACCTAGAGATTATCATACTAAGTGAAGTAAGTCAGAGAAAAACAAATATCATATGATATCACTCACATGTGGACTCTAATTTTTTAAAAAATGAAACAAATGAACTTATTTACAAAACAGAAATAGACTCACAGATATTGAAAACAAACTTATGGTTACCAAAGGGGAAACGTGGTGGGGGAGGGATAAATCAGGAGTTTGGGATTAACATACACACACTACTATACACAAGACAGGTGACCAACAAGTACCAACCAGGACCTACGTAGCATAGCACAGGGAACTCTACTCAACATTCTGTGATAACCTATATGAGAAAAGAATCTGATAAAGAATGGATATATGTATATGTATAACTGAATCACTTTGCTGTATACCTGAAACTAATACAACATTGTAAATCAACTATACACTCCAATATAATTAAAATAAAATAAAATTTTCAAAAAAATTAAACTGGCCATGTGTATAAGTTTTCTACACTAATATTATCTTTACATTTATTCTCACGCTGTGCCATTTGAAGTTAAGAGATTCAATCTAGTTGCTTCTGTATATCCAGCACCAAACAGCAATGAAAATACAGTAGCTGTTTAGTAAACTGAATCGAATCCTCTAGATTCAGATATTTATTTGAATTTGAGAATTGTTTTAAAGTAATTATTAAAACACAGATGAATGTAAAAAGAGCTTACAGATTTACTTTATATCACTTCATAATAATTTTAGACTAACATTATTAAGGCATCATGTATTTTGAAGTATTTCTGAAACCAATATTAATATTTTAACTTGCATTTTTATTACATTGCTTTTCAAATCTTTATAAATAAGCTGTTAAGAAGTTTACATTTGGGGAAATTAGATGACATCTGGAATATAAGGTGCTTAAAATTTGATAAAAGTACTGACCTTATTATCTGTTTCACAATGAACAAGAGCCTCTCTATAAAATTTAATTGCTTTTTCATAGTCTCGCTGAGCAACAGAATGTTTTGCAATCTCTGCACAAATTTCAGCTGCTAAATGTTTCTGTGCAGGAACTGCATCTGGCTGTTCCATCTGAACACGTTTTAGTACCCGAGCTTGTAATTCTCGAGCCTAGAAAAATATAAGGATAAAAAGGAATTTTAAAAAGAAATTAAACAATTCTCAGTAAATCACATGTAGCATAATTTTACAGATTTATTTAAGCATTAATGGCCCTCAATCTAACAAAGCCTGATCCAAAGAAAATGTCTTAACTGAGGTTTTAAAAAGGTTACTTGTTTGCAAATAAGCCAGTATGCACTTATCTTTGCAACTAAAATGCTATAAAAGTACTGAATCTTCTCCCACTGTTATAAGAATATGCACAGGAAACTCACTAAGAGGAAATGCAACCATGAAACAAATATTTAGAAAAGATGTCTACATGTTGTAATTAAAAAAATGAAAACTGTAAATGTTTATTAAATTAATAAAATAGTATCTAAAAGTTATTGAATCAAATACTGGCATGTTTCAGGGAGTAAGTACATCCACATATTGTCAATGGCATATAAGTCCCGTCTCTCTGGGGAGCACCCTCGTAAAACATACTAACTCCCTAAAATTAACACACTATTGAACTTAGCTGTTTCATTCTTGGGAAGGTATTAAGGACATCACTTAGAAGGAAAAAAGGAAACATGTTATTTGTTATTAAAAAAATGGCCTGTTGTAAAAACAAAACAAAACAACAGCAACAACAAAACAAAAACAAATCTGGAAGCAACCCAAAAGTCTGATGATAAGGAAATGCCTAACCAATTGATGGTGTATATACCTGGTCCCACACTATGCACAGACACTCCTAAGGAGGTAGGGGCCTTCCTCAGACTAAGAATGTAGAGTGATTTGCTAAACTGGAGGAGTATCAGCCTTCCCACCCACAAGTCTGGTTTCTGAAACATCGAGACCTTCCTTTAACAAGTGACAACTCCTAGGCGTTAGGCCTTTACAATAAACTTTAACTTTGAGCTAATCATTCACTCATGCATTCATGCATTCATTTAATGAACAATAAATGCCCACCATCTGCCACACACAACAAGCCCTTCTGGGGACTCCTGTCAAAACGTTGGTTGACAACTGGTATTTGATGAAGATGGTCTAAAGCTGATTATTTTGGGGAACCACAGGTCATAATAGGGTATCATGATAAGCATTCTTTTGGAAATGAAAGAGAAAGGATTAAAAAATACTGTATATATAGCATGTGGTATAGGTTAACACTGTTTCATGAAATTTTAATTTTGGTTATATTAATGTGTGTTTATAAGTATAGAGGTATGTGCACGTTTGTGTATTTGATGTTTTATATTATGCATGTACCAGTGTGCACGGTTTTGCATATGTGCACACACACTCACAAAGAACTCTGAAACAACTGGTCTAAATAGGGGCAGTACCCTTTTATACCTGTTGTGCCAGCTTAATTATTAATTCTTCTTTCTTTCTCAAAAGTATTCTGGCTTGAATGATAAATTATATGGTTGCACTAGGTTAAAATACATGCACTTCTTTCTCTAGACAGTGTGAGTTTTATCTCTGCATCAACTAAATCTCTAAATGTCAAATAGGTGGACCTCATGAGCTTAACTTCCTAGAGAAAAACCTTTATAAGTTAGGCTTTGTGATACCTTGCAATTTTCTTATAAATAATTGGGGGGTTGGGAGGGGGTGGATCTTGAGCAAAAGTTTTTTTCATTTTTTATTAAAGATATCATAAAACAATGCTCAATTTCTCTAAGTATATCTAATAATCATTAAAAAACATTTTCACATAGAATAAAATTTTCTTGAAGAATTGATACCATTCCCTATACTTTTCCTTGCTTTTATCAGAAATAAATTTCATGGTCTTTTACAATAAGCATATTAACCCTGATCTGTCAACACCATTACTTTTCCCTCCCCCTTCCTTTATTATAATATTCTTCTAAATTCCATCAAACCCTTGGGTAGAAGAAAGTATATATATAAACATCTTATTTCAAAGAATTCTTAATTTTCCCTTTTTATTTCAATAGCCTTATTGTATCTTACCGAAGACCACATCAAAGCAAAATATGCCAATAAAATCAGAATATCACATTACTTTTTATATGATGAAGATGGAGCTATACTGGAAAAATCCATACAAATGAATGTTAAGTGAAGGAAGCAAACACAAGTATAATCTGTACATACTAACTAAAACTATATCAAGTTATAATGTCCTAAAATTGTTAGTGTTTTATGGCACATAGGTTTTTTATTTCTAGTTTAGATTTTATTTTCACAGAAAAGATAATGCCTATACTAAAGTGATTTTTCCTTTAACTGTTCCTGCAATTAAACAATTAAAATAATCTATGATTTCCTTTCAGCCATTCAACAAAAATTTCAAGCTCCTATCATGGTGAACATATGTGAAGATGGATCCCATGATTTTCACCTCTATTGTTCAATAAGAGGATGGGGATCAGTTAGGAGGAGTCTGGGCTAAAAGATAATAATAGATAAGGCTAAAAGATGACAGAGAGGGATGAAGAAATGTGGAGTTATTTCGGAAGTCCGAAACATATTTCATATTTCATGTTTAGCAACTATGCAAAAATATTATGATGCAACTCCCAAGTTCCATAATGTGGAGAATTAAGCTCAATAAATGGTTGCTGAATAAATGAATTTAAAATATCAAACACTTTGATTACACTATTTGAATTGTATTGTAATTCTATATTCAAATTCAAATTGTTTGTATTGTACCTCAAAAAGATTTACTTTTTCAGAGATCAGAATGCAAAGAATATTATAGCGGGAAAGAACGTTATAGCTCTTCAAATTTTATGAAAGGTGAAAAATCCCTGTGCTATAACATATAAACTTAAAATGAATTTGATTTTGGTTTGCTGGCATTGTCTAACCACAGTTTGTCTTTTAGTGTTATTCAGTGTGTCTGCTCATAGAACACAGAAGCTCATGCAACCAGTCACTGAGACTAATGCTATTCATAATGGAATGAAATATGCCAAATTCACTTCTAAAATGTTTTGAAAGTCTAAATTTAGGAAAATTACACTTTCCTTTTACCTAATGGTAGCTAACCTCAGGTTAAGTGCCATTCCTTTATCACATAATTCAGAAAACAGGGATAAAACATACCAACAATTAAGGGTAAGATATTACATTGTTGAAGATTACATATCTTAATGAAATCATAAGCTTACATGGGGGTCACAGAAATCTAACAGTGTGAGCTCCATTCATTCACAATTTGAACAAAAAAATATTATTGGACACTGCCTGAAACACACACACACATTTTGTGTGTTGAAATCTAGAGATATTGAATCTATTAATAAAAATCTTCTGTCAAAGAAACCTCAAGGTCTCAAAGGTGCTAATACTGAACTGTTCCAAACATTAAAGAAATAGCATGTCTTAGAGACCAACCTTTCTAATGAACATATATGCACAAACCTTGAACAAAATATTAGGAACTATCTTTAAATTCCAGCAATGTCTTTTGAAAAATCACAACAGTGACATTTATTTCAGTACTGTAAGGATGGTTTAACATTCAAAAATCAATCAATTTAATAAACAGGAAAAAAAATTGGAGAAAAGTCACATGACCATTTTGATAGATGCAGACAGTGTATTAGACAAAACTGTTGGCTAACTAGAAATTGAAAAATCATCAAAACACATCAGCCACTTAGGAATACATCTAAGGAAATGAGTACAAAACCTCTACATTGAAAACCACAGAACATTAAAGGAAATTAAAGAAGATATAAATAAGTGGAAGAAAAAAATGAGTTCAACTCCTGCCTATGACACTAGTCATGTGACTTCACACAAGTTATTAAACCGAGCTCCCTCAGCTATAAAACAGGATTAAAAATATCAACCTTCCCTAATTGTTACTAATAATTAGCAACAATACATTTAAACAGTACAATCCACTGGCATTCAATCATTATTTCTATTTGACTTATTTTCTATGACAGTTGGGCCAAAAGATTGTCTTCCTTTTACGTGTGGCGCATTTCCTTCTGAGACTATCACCCACCCTTAACCCCTTACAAACAAAGGCATTTGTTTACCTGTTGTAATGAAGCAACTGCATCACCAGGTCTGTCCACTTTACTATAAACTTTTGCTAGAAGAACTTGAGAACGTCCATCCTCTGTGAGAGCTGACAGTTCATTTACTATGAAAGAATAAAATATAATGGGAAAAAATAATAATTCATTTTAAATAAATCTTTACATTTTTCTATAAGTTTTTATACTTGACTTTGAAAAATAGTGAATAAAGTTTAAAAAGTTTCAGTAAATCAACTGAAGAATGGCCAAATTGGAAAAAAAAAGATTTAGGATAAAAACTGGCTGGAAGAAAAGTTAAAGAACTGGAGGCTTTTCTTAGACATACAAGAGATAACAATACAACAACACAGAGAAGAGTTTCAATTTCCATTCTTTTTTTTTTTTTTAAGATTTAATTAATTAATTTGTTTGTTTATCTGTCTTTGTTGCTGTGCATGGGCTTTCTCTAGTTGTGGTGAGCAGGGGCTGCTCTTTGTTGCGGTGCATGGGTTCCTCATTGCAGTGGCTTCTCTTGTTGAGGAGCACGGGCTCTAGGCGTGTGGGCTCTAGAGTGCACAGGCCTCAGTAGTTGCGGCGTGTGGGGCTCAGTAGTTGCAGTGCATAGGCTCTAGGGTACATGGGCTCAGTAGTTGTGGCGCATGAGCTTAGTTGCTCCTCAGCATGTGGGATCTTCCCAGATCAGAGATCGAACCTGTGTACCCGGCACTGGCAGGTGGATTCTTAACCACTGCAACACTAGGAAAGTCCTCAATTTCCATTCTTAAGTGTATAAGCACCTCTGTTTATTGAAGTCATTTAAAAACAAGATGGGGTAGTTAGTACATGCAATTAAAAAGGTAACTGCTATTTATTTTTAAATAACAGAACTTAATAAAGTATACATATATACATACATATATACATAATAAACACTGACTTTGATGCCAACCTGTCTGGTTTCAAATCTAGGCTTTATCACTTTCTAGTTAACAAGGGCCTAGTCGAACAAGGTAGTTATCTATTCTGTGCCTCCCTTTCATCTGTAAAATAGGAGAAATAATAGTACCTATCTCATAAGATTACTGTAAAATTTAAAAAGTTAGTAAATTATTAAATAAGCTAATATATGCAAAGCAATTAAAGTCTTGTACATGTCAAGTGCTATTTAAGTATTTGGTATTATTATTTTGTAATCTAAGAGTAATAAAAGAACCCTAGATAATTAACAAAAAGATGTTTCTTCTACCATTTATCGACAGCATGGCCTGAGCCATATTCTGTTTGAATACATCATTATTTATTTAAAATCTCAACCTGAGAAGCAGGTTTTGTTATTGCTATTTTACAGGTAAGAAAAGCTCTAAGGTGGTACAAGGAACAAGGGAGCTGTGACAATGGTGAGAGCAGGCTGGAAGGAGAGGTCAGAGGAGCAACAGCATGCATGTGTGAAGGCCATGTAAGCCACTGTAAGACTTTGGTTAACTCAGAGAAATGGGAGACAAGGGGGAGCTTGAGCAGGTGTGATCAAACTTTGGTTGTTTAAAAGGTCCAATAGTGCTGCTGGGTTGGGAAAGGCTGTGTCCAGCTGTGGGGTTGAGGATTGGGTAACAGGGAGACCAGGTGTAGGCTACTGCTTTAATCCACCTAAGAGAAGATGTTGCTAGGACAGGGTGACAATAGTGGAAATAATGAGACACAGGAGAATTCTGAATGTATCTAGAAGGCAGAACCAAGAGGATTTCCTATGGGCAAGGGTGAAGGCAAGGATTTTGGTTCTTCAAAACTACAAAGAAGGCTGAAGTTATTGAGATAGAGAAGGCTGCACATAGAACAGATGGGGGAGGCAGATAAGGAATTCACTTTCAAACATGCTAAGTTTAAGATGTTTCTTAGAACCCTGGTGCTACTATATCAACTAGGTGAACCTGGATAACTCAAGAAAATTGAGTATTAGATGCTAATTTAAAAATGTAGATAATTTTATTTGTCTCAAAAACTAATGTGAGCATTAATAACATATAATGAAATGCACATGAAGGCATCTAAGTACACCATTGGATGTGCTCAGCAAATTATTAAATGAAAGTATTTATACTGCATAAATGTAATATACTTATGCCCATATAAGTAAAACATACTACTTGAATCTCTCCTCCTCTACAACCTTTTAAAAAATGCATATCCACATTTAGGCCATCTGTAGTGTTTCAAGCAAGGTCTGACAAGACTCATGCAAGTATTTTTATGGAATAAATAAATGCATTCAAATTAGAATTTAAGCATCAACTTCAAAGCTAAATTAAAAGACCATTTTAGACATATTAGAAAATTTAGAGTTGGCTTGCCTTATCTATGTATCCAAACATACTTTAAAATCACAGAAAACATGGTATTGGCAAAAATAAAAATGGGAGGGGAGAAGGAAGGAACTCAAAACAAAAATTCCCAGAATCAGAGTGAAATGTATAAAAAAGCTTATAATATGATAAAGGTGGCATTTCAGTAAATGACACTGAGATATAATTGGCTATCCCTTTGGGAAACTATATAGTAAAAATTGTATGTGAATTAAAGTTCTTCATTATAAAAATTAAAATTCTCCATTATACAAATTAAAATTACAAAAGCCCCAGAAAAATATAAGAAAACTTTTTTCAATGTTAGGATTAGGGAAGCTTTTTCTGAGCATGACAAGAAATTCAAAAGTCAAAAAGAGAAAAGACTGGTAGGTATTATATATGATAGTTAAATATTCTATTTGACCAATGAAATGATAAAGTAATTTGATAAAGAAAGGACAGCCTGGGAGAAAATATCTGTAACATGAATAATAGGTAAAAGATTAATGAATAATAGATAAAGGATTAAGACAAAGGATATGAATGAAATAGTGAAAATACGATCTATAGATATAATACTTAACCTTATCAATCATCAAAGAAATGTAAATTAGAAGTTTGTTTTCTCTATAATTAATACTACATAATGTTGGGACATTTTTACCTTTAAGAAAAAACAATGGAGCAAGATTCAATTCTAGGAAGAACATACTGCTATATAAACAAGGATTCTACCTCAGTAATGTTTTCTTCTATCTAAATGTCTATCAATAGGGGAGTCATCAAATAAATTATGATATTGACAAACAGTAAAATACGCTACCTATGTTAAAAAATTTAAAAGTGCTATATCTGCCAAAATGAAGAGAGGCTATTAAATGAAAAATGCATACTGCAGACCTATAGGTATAATATGACTCCTTTTTGGTAGCAAAAAGTGTTATGTAATAGTGTGTGACAGATAGGGGCAGGGAGATTGATCAGGACGTGGTTTTCTCTGGAGAGTGGGAGAGCGACACAACTTTCATTCACTTCTATAATCCTCAAATTTTTCCAATGAACAAGCACTAGATTTTATTTAAAAAGTACAGATCTTTAAAAAGTAAATTTGTATGAACTTTTAAGAAGGCAATTCGATAGTATCCAATTAAAATTTAAGTACACATACCCTTTAACATAGCATCTTGCTCTTAAGAAATATAAGCAAGTGTATGCCAAAGAATGAGATACAAGGATATTCATTTTAACATGGTTTATAACATCAAAAGACTGGAAGACTAACTGGGGAAAAGTTAAATAGCTTATGGAGTTATAAAATATTGTGAGTCTATTAGATAGAATAATATGGATGTACTGACATCAAACTATATCTGCAACATATTGTATGTGAAAAAAATTGCTGAATAGGAAGAATGATGCATTTTGAAAAGAACAATATGCATATTACACTTAGATATTTACATAAATATATATAAAATATACACTAAAACACAAAAATGGTTACCTCTAAGGAGGTCTGAGAACAGGGCAAGTAGAATTCACAGGAGAAACTGGAGACTTGTACATTATACTCTTTAATAATGCTGAATTTTTTTTTAAAAAACAACTTTTAAAAAGGATTATAAAAATGTTTACTTGTTTAAACACCGGTTGTAGTTACAATTTATAGGAAACTTCCAACAAAGCTACAGTAATCAAAACACAATGGTACTGGCACAAAAAAAGAAATATAAATCAATGGAACAGGATAGAAAGCCCAGAAACAAACCCACGGACCTCTGGTCAATTAATCTATGACAAAGGAGGCAAGGATATACAATGGAGAAAAGACAGTTTCTTCAATAAGTGGTGCTGGGAAAACCAGACAGTTACATAAAAAAGAATGAAATTAGAACATTCTCTAACACCATACACAAAAACAAACTCAAAATGGACTGAAGACCTAAACCTAATACCGGATACTATAAAACTCTTAGAGGAAAACATAGGGAGAACACTCTATGACATAAATTGCAGCAACATCCATTGCTGGATTTTTTCAATCCACCTCCTAGAGTAATGAAAATAAAAACAAAAATAAACAAATGGGACCTAATTAAACTTCAAAGCTTTTGCACAGCAAAGGAAACCATAAACAAAATAAAAAGACAACCCACTTCAGAATGGGAGAAAATATTTGCAAATGAAGTGACTGAAAAGGGATTCATCACCAAAATATACAAACAGCTCATGAATCTCAATATCAAAAATATAAACAACCCAATCAAAAAATGGGCAGAAGATCTAAACAGACATTTCTCCAAAGAAGACATACAGACGGCAAAAAAAAAGCACACGAAAAGATGCTCAGCATCGCTAATAATCAGAGAAATGCAAATCAAAACTACAGTGAGGTATCACCTCACACTGGTCAGAATGGCCATCATTAAAAAATCTACAAACAATAAATGCTGGAGAGGGCATGGAGAAAAGGGAACACTCCTACATTGTTGGTGGTAATGTGAATTGGTACAGTCACTATGGAGAACAGTATGGAGGTCCCTTAAAAAACTAAAAATAGAGCTACCATATGACCCAGCAATCCCACTCCTGAGCATATATCCAGAGGAAACAGTAATTCAAAAAGATACATGGGGCTTCCCTGGTGGTGCAGTGGTTGAGAGTCTGCCTGCCAATGCAGGGGACACGGGTTCGTGCCCCAGTCCGGGAAGATCCCACATGCTGCGGAGCAGCTGGGCCCGTGAGCCATGGCCGCTGGGCCTGCGCGTCCGGAGCCTGTGCTCTGCAACGGGAGAGGCCACAGCAGTGAGAGGCCCGTGTACCACAAAAAAACAAAACAAAACAAAACAGAAACAAAACAAAAAAGATACATCTACCCCAATGTTCACTGCAGCACTATTTACAATAGCCAGAACATGGAAGCAGCCTAAGTGTTCATCGACAGAGGAGTGGATAAAGAAGATGTGGTATGTGTATACAATGGAATATTACTCAGCCATTAAAAAGAATGAAATAATGCCATTTGCAGCAACATGAATGGACCTAGAGATTATTATATGAAGTGAAGTAAATCAGAGACAGACAAATATCATGATATTACTTATATATGGAATCTAAAAAAATGATACAAATGAACTTATTTACAAAACAGAAACAGACTCACAGAGTTTGAAAACAAACATGGTTACGAAAGGGGAGAGGTGGGAGGGAGGGATAAATTAGGAGTTTGGGACCAACAAATACACACTACTACATATAAAATAGATAATCAACAAGGACCTATTGTACAGCACAGGGAACACCACTCAGTAATCTATAATAACCTATATGGGAAAAGAATGTATACATATATATATGTATAACTGAATCACTTTGCTGTACAGCTGAAACTAATATAACATTGTAAATCAACTATAACACAAAATAAAAATTAAATTAAAGAAAAAACTAAAGGGAACTTTCTTTATGTCACTTTGGAAAGTAGTTTTCTATAACACAAACTGTTTCACAAATCTGTTTTAAGATTTTTAAAATATCTTATTTTAGTAGAGTGACATTCTGACAAATGAAAGAACCAACCTCACATACACTAACAATACAAATACATACTAATATAAAAATAAAAGAATCAGATATATTAGGTATACTATTTCAAATAAGAAAGATTTTCATACCAGGTTCATGAGCTAGTGCATGTTGAAGAACTTTTTCTGCTTTGTCATACCATTTCAGTTTTAATAAGAGCTCAGCCAAGTCATAGAAAAGATAATTTTGTTGTCCATTTTTCAGAGCAGCTTCATAATAAGTGATTGCCTAAACAAAATCCATTTCAGTTAGGGGAAAAAAAGGCAATGAGAATGGCATTCAAGCATAGATCCTACACACATTATGACTTAAAGCAATTGGAAGTAACCTAAAAGCAGCTTATGCATGGACTTGCACGATTGATTAAGTGTGACGTTTTTCTTACAGAATCCAGTATTACACAAGACAACTAGCATTTCTTACAACAAGTAACTAAAGCAAAGTACTTTGTTAAAATTTTTTCTAGTTTTATTCCAAACGTTAGTGAATGCAAATACTTTGCTAGCTGTTGTATATATGTTCAACAGTTACCAGGAATAGGGCAAGAATATAACTAAAGGAAAATCTATTATCCTTACTACAAAACAAACCAAAAAACCCCTCAAAGCACATGGCTTACCAAAACTGGTTCAATGGAAAGGACATCTATTATGCTTTGTCATATGATAAAAGAGATGTAACAACAGTAAGTTTATCATAATTTATTTCATGGCAGAATTTTGCTGTAAGGTGAAACCTGAAGTAAACTTTAGGGTCCAAAAAGTCTTTGCAAAATGCAGCAGAGAAGAATCTGAGACACTGAGAAAGTCTTTAACACAAATTCCAGTTTGTAAAGACAAATTTGGAGTTTCCAACCATTAAGATACAAACAGTGCTTGCTGAAGATCTTTCACAGAGCAGGGTTTGCAGATTTGTTAAAACAGATACATTTCAAAATATAAAGTATCTACCTTTGAGTAGTTGTGAGTTTTGACAAGAGCTTTCCCAATTTTGCTTGCCAATGTTCCATCCTTTGGGTTCTGATTTAATGCTTGCTCATATGCTACTATGGCTTCTTCAGGCTAATGTTGGCAGATAAAAAATGAAGCAATAAAATAACAGCTTAGATGGCTCCCATTAAATGGCAACACTTCTATAATTAAGGTCTACATTTGGAATACTTACTAAGACTAATAAAGCACATACTAAGTCCAGAAACCTTAATAATTTCAGAGAGCTGATAATCACTAGCGCAGGTGTAACTCACTAGTATAATCCCACCCATGTTACTTAGGTCCATGTCCTCATAAATAGTCATATGAGAACTAAGAGACAGCTTCTTGACAGCTTTTCATCTGGCATCATTATAAAAGCCAGAACCAGAGGTCAGAGGATTGCTTCCCTTTGAAGAAAACACCACCTTAGCCAGTAGCTCTTTTCATCCTTTTGTTGAAAGGTGACTCACCTTACTTCTGGTATCATCTCTATTTCAAATGACAGTGCTGAATAACTGGATCTCAATTTGAAAAATAACTATAACTTTTTTTTATGCGGGCATCCCACTGTTGCAGTGCCTCCCGTTGTGGAGCGCAGGCTCCAGACGCGCAGGCCCAGAGGCCATGGCTCACGGGCCCAGCCAGTCTGCAGCATGTGGGATCTTCCCGGACCAGGGCACGAATCCGTGCCCCTGGCATTGGCAGGCGGACTCTCAACCACTGCGCCACCAGGGAAGCCCTGAAAAATAACTATAACTTTTTAATTGTAATGGTTGTCTCCCTTTTTATTGTGATGACTGGATCTTTGACTATTAAGTAAACGTTATTAAAATGAGGGGAGGGGATTTGGATGAAGGTGGTTAAAAGGTACAAGCTTCCAGTTACAAGATAAGTATTAGGGATGTAATGTACAACATGAAAATTAACACTGCTGTACGTTATACGTGAAAGCTGTTGAAAGTAAATCCTGAGAGTTCTCATTACAAGGGAAAAATTTTTTTTTCTATTTCTTTAATTTTGAGCTATATAAGATGATGGATATTCACCGAACTTACTGTGATAATCATTGCATGATGTATTTAAGTTAAATCATTATGCTATACCTTAAACTTACACAGTGCTGCATGTCAACTGTATCTCAATAAAACTGGAAGAAAAAAACCCAAATTCCTTTCAGTAGAATGTTATACTAATCACAAAGAAGAATTTTTGGTTTTTGTTTTGTTTTTAAATCTAAGTTCAGTAGTATCAGAAACTTTACCTCTTGAATATTCATGTATGCATCACCAAGGAGAATAAAAGAACGAGGGCTAGGCATCCTTTCAGCAATTTCTCTGGAAATCAGACGAACTCTACTTAGTGTATTGAATATAAATTTCTTCTTCTAAACCAATTAAATAAAAGATAAGCTTATTTTTTCAATGAACTAATAGCCTTCAGAGTGCCTTCTTTATATCCAACGGGGTAATATTGTTTAAAAACCCCAGCCATACCCACACTCAGATTGTTTATGCTAAGTCAACAATTTTTTTCATTAAATTTTTCTATTTCCTGAAATGCAGGTAAAAGTATACAGACAGATAGTAAACACATAAGCTCTCATTATCCAGAAATACGTGATGTGGGAATGAAGTTGCAAAATATGACAAACACTTATCATCCTCCTGTGCACCCTGAGCTCTGATATTCATGGCGTAAGTCATATACAACGGGTTACCTTAAAAAATATAAAATATTCTATTTCAACATTTGCTTATTTTTTACCTGCAAAAGGTAAACTACTAAAGGTCAAAATACCAAGGTTGCTCAGATAACGTGACGCTAAGTCTTTAATGTACAATATCTCACTTAATTGGTCCAAAAACTCTGAGAAAAGAAAATTGTTACAATTATATAGATAATGCTGAGTTTACTATAGCTAATGTGTCAGATCTACTTCAAAAAAAAACCCTATGATTTTAGCTACTATACTACAGTGCATCCAAACACATCAACCCTATTTTATATATACATACATATACGCACTACCAAATGTAAAATAGCTAGTGGGAAGCAGCCACATAGCACAGGGAGATCACCTCGGTGCTTTGTGACCACCTAGAGGGGTGGGATAGGGAGTGTGGGAGGGAGATGCAAGAGGGAGGGGATATGGGGATATATGTATACGTATAGCTGATTCACTTTGTAATAAAGCAGAAACTAACACACCATTGTAAAGCAATTATACTCCAATAAAGATGTTAAAAAATAATAATAGAATAAAAGGTGTGAAGAGTGAAAAAAAAATTGTCATATCATTAGAGATGATAGTGCCGATATTTTAGAAACATCATAGAAAATATAATCGAGGAAACTCCAGTCCATCCATCTATACAGGGGGTGCTGCTCAGTTTCTTTGAATCACTCAGTACCTACAACGAATCTGAGCAGCTTTCTGGGCTTTGATATTTACAAAATATAGATGAACCAATATGACTTAATTCATCAACATTTTACTATTCTCAAGGATAAAACATTAATTTTCTCTCACATGGAGTGTGTGCTTGTATCTTTATCTTTTTGTTTGGGGAGAAGTGTAAGAGCAACCTGTGTGTGCATGTGTGCACCCATGTCTCGTGTGAGTGTGTGTGTGTGCATGTTTTGTGTATCCCAGTAACTCCCAAGGGCATCAGTGTATGACACTTTTTAAACCCCTGCCACTTCTGTAATCCATACCTTAGTGTGGTATATACTAAGCCATAATTTTCTTCTGCTATAACTATGATACTGAGTGTTAAATATGACTATATAGCCCCTGAATTGGTACATTACATAATGCTTTTAAGCTATTAGAATACATGTAATGGTAGCTCTTTCAAAGTCCAAAAATAACATCTGATGAGAGAGGAGAGCTAAGAAACTAAAGTAAGCCACAGGTTGAAATAAATCATAATTACCATGATTTACATTTCAGGGAGAGTAACTTGGTTACAGTTACTGTGTTTGGTGGTAGTAGAAGGAAGCAAGAACACATTAAGGAAGGGATCTATAAAGTATCTGAAAAGCAGTTAAAAGAAAGAAATCTGGGGATTAATTTTAGGAGATAAATGTCAAAATATAATGGGTTGAAAGAACCATTTACCTGTAACAAGTGATATATAACATCTTCTCTTTTCTGTGCTTCAGATATATATCTGCCATTTTTTCTTTGGTCTCTATGAAATAAGGCTGCTCAGATGTAACATTCCGAAGCATGCTTAAAGCCCGTTCCACATCTCCCTGGGCCAGAGCTAGGTCTGCATTAGCAATAGTGACACGCAATTCTTCAGATGTCCCGGAAAATTCATGGATGGCATCTTGTAAAACTTTGGCCGCCTCATGCTGTAAAGGTGCAATTAAAGTAACATTCAAAATTTCAACAAATTACACTACAAACTAAGGTTTTCTACTAATACAGAATGAACAATAAATGCTAGTACAGTTATGATATTTGTGAAATAATGATAGATTTTTTTGAAAAGTACAAAAATTTAAAACCAAACTCAGAGACCAAATTAAGATGACATTATAAATATTTGTTAGCTGAAAAGTGTTCTCATAACTAGGACAACAGCAGTTGCTACCTAAGACTTGTTGCTACTATAATTTAATTAAACATTTACTTTGCACCCAGCATTGTAAATATTAACCCATTTAATTCTCACAAAAATCCTCTAAGGTAGTTACTATAATTACCCCCCACTTTGTAGTAAGTAAAATGAGATTCAGACAGTTAAGTTAACAAATGATAGAACCAGCCTGACTCCAAAGCCTAAATTCTTAGCCATGTTCATTACTGCATCTTGGATGGGATCCAGTCCACAGTCACCCTCTGTACCCGATGGCTCTACATTCATTACCTAGCAGATTACGTTATTCCCTACACTAGGATGTCATTTTTGTTATACCCCAGGTGAATATATTTCCTAATTTCCAAATCTGTACCTCAATGAATCTAAAATGTCATTGATTTTAATTCATCTCAGCTTTAGAGATTTTAAAACATTCTGATTTAAGAAATGTTAAAATGTGAAAAAAACAGTGCATTTCAGAATCAACTATCTATAGTAGAATTGGTTCTTATTAAGTGCATTTTACATTAATTTATTAGTGAACTGGAAATTCTTTGAGATTGGGCAAGTATCTGGACACAGTCTTCTTAATTTCCACTAAAATATGAAATAATGAAATAACTGATTAGCAACAGCTGCAACTTAAAAAACAAATATAAATGATGTTAAGTTCCTCATTTTCTACAAGGTTCTAATTCTTTTCTCAGAATTACATTTTTGTTTGCCTTCTTTCTACCTATCTATCCATCTACCTATCTATATTATTCTTTAAGTATTTGATTTTATGATCTATCTATCTGTATTTTTTCAAGTATTTGATTTTATGATTGTCCTGTTAGTTTAACAAAGCTGTATTATTTCAGTGGTTCTTTTATTTTCTCAGCTATTAGAATTTCAGATTGGTACTTTAATTTTATTCCAGTAGTACATCTGTGTGTGTGTGTGCGCGCTTCTGTGTATATGTGTGTGAGCCCTTTTAGGAATTCACAGAATTATAACTATATTATATGATTACATTTCATGATAGCCAAAGTAATCATACATATTATTATATACATAATACATACTACAGTACATCATATTACATTATATTATTACTCATATTACACATACAGTATATATCTAGTATTACATCTCATGGTAGCCAATGTAAGTACACTGATACATAAAGTCATCCCAGTACAAACTACGTCTAAATTCAGGGGCTATAGAAAGTAACATGATCTGGTGCTAAGTGATGAGAAATAAATTTTCTAAACTTTACCACTTGATCAAGCGAATAATTTTAGCTTTTTCATTTCCTATGACTCTATATACTTGAATAACAAAGTTCAGATCTGAGCCACTGAATTACACTTGACCTACCTGTTCTCCATTTAAGCGGTGAACCTCTACCAACTCAAGAAAGACTGATAAACGATGGCTTGCATCGACTTCAGTTTTTCTGTATTTTGACTTTGAGGAAGTTCCAGTTCTCCTCATTCCTGGTAAACTCATTGCTATATGCAGGGTTTTAATTGCTTCTGCTATTTCTCCCATTTTCTTTTGTGACTGAGCTTTTATCAAATGATATAAAGGATATTCTCTCACCTGAAAAAATAATATTCAGAAATACTTCCTTGGAGTGTTTACAACATCAATACATAGTTTACAATCCATCAAATGTTATAATAATAGGATCTTTGAAGACAGTCTACCCTGTGATTGTATGCATGAGGTCTATTTCTGTCCTCTTACTCATGTTCTGATCATTTATTATATTAAATCAGAATTCAGGTAACCTGACACTACCTAGTGTTCCGTTGGTTAACAAACAAGTTAAGTACTTCTACTATGAGAGGAAAGAAATTGCACACAAAGTTTATAAGGCTAGCAAATATATTCTAAGAAATTATTTTAGTTTTTAGGAAATGAATTCCTTTACCTCAGACTTCTCATACTGAGATAAAGTTATCAGATTTCTACACAGTTTCTTGTCTTTTCTTTATTTTCTAATTTTAAGATTAAAAATTTCAGGGCTTCCCTGGTGGCATGGTGGTTAAGAATCCACCTGTCAATGCAGGGGACACGAGTTTGAGCCCTGGTCCGGGAAGATCCCACATGCCGCAGAGCAACTAAGCCCGTGTGCCACAACTACTGAGCCTGCGCTCTAGAGCCTGCAAGCCACAACTACTGAAGGCCGTGTTCTGCAACAAGAGAAGCCACCGCACCGCAACAAAGAGTAGCCCCCTTGCTGCAACTAGAGAAAGCCCGCGTGCAGCAACAAAGACCCAATGCAGCCAAAAGTAAATAAATTAAATAAACAAACAAACAAATAATTTAAGATTAAAAATTTCAGGACACGTTAATCAAACATTGGTTTTACCCTTTGATACTACTCTGAAACACGTAGTAATGAATCTCCTGTCTTTATTTTGGGTATCAACAGCATATACAGGAAAAATAAAGAGAATGACAAAAGATAAGGAAGGAGTCAAAGGGAAGAAGATGGTCCAGAATGAGATGATGTGGCAGCCATCTAACCTCCAGGATGGCTACAGTCCTCCTAATGCTGGGTTCTGAGCCGTAGCTAGGCACCGTGTTTACCTGTGGGCCTTGTGTAAATAATCATGCTTACGCTCTTCTCTCAGAGATTCTGATTCACTGGCTAGGGCACTGGCACTGGGGTCACAATGCACCACCAGTCTTGAGAACTACCGTCCTAAGAAGCAAGCATTACCTTCTGCAAACCTTGCCTGGAACTTGAATTCTCCAGTGCACTAAAGTGTTCTCACATCGAAGGGCTCAAGACACTGCCAACCAAAGCAAAAGTATGAGGAGCTCCTCCTTGATTCCAGGTTGCTCAGGAAGCCCCTGAACCTAGGACTTTCCATAATGCTCAGGGATATGAGATGTTCACACAGAATACCTTGGATAGAAATCTAGTGTGTTTATATCCTCGAACCACATACCAACTTTCAAAATGACTAGCTGTTCTCTGATGATGTATCTAAAAAGTTATTAAACACCAAGGTCCAAGAAACAGGCAATAAAATAAAATCCTTATACATAAAAATATTTGGCACAATGCTCTACAGTGTACAATTATCTCTACATATTCATATTGCATTTAATGTTCACTATAATTGTAGGGTATTATTATATAAGTGTTCTAGAAAAGAAAACTGAGGTTCAGAGAGAGACAGGTGAAAAGACCAGACACTATCTCCAGGTCTTTTGTTGCCAAGTCCATATAGTTGTTTAACTACACCACAGGTGCCTCCATTTTTTTCTCCTACTGCTAATGAGTTCAAAATATTTTCCATTATCGGCTTCCCTGGTGGCGTAGTGGTTGAGAGTCCGCCTGCCGATGCAGGGGACACGGGTTCGTGCCCCGGTCTGGGAGGATCCCACATGCCGCGGAGCAGCTGGGCCCGTGAGCCATGGCCGCTGAGCCTGCGCGTCCGGAGCCTGTGCTCCGCAAGGGGAGCGGCCACAACAGTGAGAGGCCCACGTACCGCAAAAAAAAAAAAAAAAAAAAATTCCATTAATAATGCATTTATTAGCAAAATATTACAGGCTAAGAAACAAAATAGTTGAATATGTAAACATTTGCTAAAGGTTCAAGGAGGGCGATATGTCTTATCCACTTGAGTCTGGAACACTTACCTTAAAATTATAGCTCAGACAAAGTTCAAGAGACTGAGAACACAATTTGATTTTTTCCTGAGACAAATAAACCTGAGCCATCAGGAGATGAGCATCTGCATAGGAAGGACTGTGTTCTAGGCAATGCTGCAGATTATTATAAGCTGCTTCAATATCACCTAATGAGGAAACAAAGCACTATTATAATACAAAATGATCAAGAGGAAACCTGAGAGAACAGGGAGAAAAGTATTTAGTCTAGGGATAGTTCTGGTGTTTGAACTTAAAAGTTCTCTGTTCGTAAGGCCTTAGCTCAACCTCTACCTGCACTAGTCAGTTTCTTTTTAATATGCATGAAAGAATATATCTAAAGCCAGGCCATCCCTTGGTCATAAGGAGCAAATAAGGAAAAGTATGTGAAAAAATCTGAAGCCCTTTAAATGTACCTGTATTCTCCTTGTCAAAAAAATTTTTTTAATTTACAATTTCATTAAAATAAGTTATGTAAGACATAGAAATTTAAGCAGAATGTTATAGTGCCACATCTAGGCTAGAAATTTTACTACTGTACAAAAAATAACCAAAAAAGGCATAAGGATATATTCCAGGGGGTTAGAAATGTGAGTTACAGATTTAAAATGCCTTTAAATACTAACTGAAATATCAGATGTTTTGGAACCACAGGTATTGTACATCTGGAAGACTTTTTCTTTTATTGTAGTTGGTTTGCAATACTGTGTTAGTTTCAGGTATACAGCATAATGATTCAGCATTTTTGCAGATTATATTCCATTATAGGTTAGTAAGTACATCTGGGAATCTTAAAATAGAAGGATATGATCAAGATGAAAGTGAACAGAATACTGGAATCTACCTTGGGCTGACAGATAAGGTAGAAGAGGCTCTTCAGAGAAACAACAGCACAGACTCTAGGTGCTGGAAGTTTCGTGATGTCACCCACACTGATTTGCATTTAGCCGTCTCATAAACTGGCCTTAAGTAGGTGTAGCTAGGCCAGCTCCCCATGTAACTCTGCTAAGGTATCCGTTCAATTACTCTCTGTAACCTTACCTAACACCTTAACAGACAAAGTAAGGCTAACAGTCAGGCCTTCAGTTCCCAAACGCTCAACTTTCTTCTAACAGAAATCCATTTAAACAGAAAACGCTTTCTTAGAGACAGAGGATTAATGAACAATAATTTAGCTGGGGTAGCACAATAACTTATTAAATACAGTGTCTAAATTTGTCGGTTAACCATCAAGCATAATAAACATTAGATTCTTTTTCACTGTGATACAATCCAACACTCAGAACTGTGCAGACAAAAAAAGAAGGGAAGATTAAGCATAATAAATTTGCATGCAAATTACCACCCCCATATTCTTTTAGGAAGGAGGAGGATTAAGGAGATAATTTGAAAAAAGAGGTTATTACTAAGTGGAGAGAGTACATAGAAAAGAATTAGGGTTTGCAAATAAGAGACTGGAAAAAACAATGAGGACTGTATGAATAACTGAAATCATAATCTTTTTTGTTTCTTCTAAAGATAAGGAGGAAGAATATGTCCGGTTAGCTTCAAGAGGCCACTAAGTATTTCAAAATGGAGAAACGGGTCATCACTGTTGGGAAAAAACAGGCCATAAAAACAAAGATCACATCAATATCACATTCTTATCTCTAAGAGCGGCCCAATTTCTCTTGAGAGAAAAATGGAAGAAATTTCTGTCCCGCAGTTCTGCCTTTGTCAGGTCCTATGTAATAAAGAATTTGGCTGGCCTTTATCCCAGGGAGACAGTTCCCAGGAGACAGTCTCTAAATCTTGGAATTTCCCAAGCAATAGGAGAATCTTTGTTATTCATGGTGGGCCCTGAGAGCTTATGCTAATGATGTGACTCAGGATGGTGGCTGGCCATGCCAGAAAGACCAACCCTGTGAATAGAAGGGTAGGGCTTTGAGCCACCTATAATCAGCCTAACCTAAGGAGAGGGGAGCTGGAGACTGACTTCAATCACATGGCCAAAGATTCAGTCCGTCTATGTAATAAAACCCTAATAAAACTCTGGATACCGAACCTTGGGTGAGTTCTCTTGGTTCCTAATGTTCCACAGGTGTCGTCATACATTGATGTGTCGGAAAGTTGATGTGTCCTGACTCCACAGGGAGAGGACAATGGAAGCTTCACATCTGGGACCCTCCCAGACCTCACCCTCAGCACCTCTTCCTTTTGCTGGTTTGGATGACTTTCAAATTTCAGTTTGCTATCACAACACTCTAATCCTAGATATAGTGCTTTTCTGAGTTCTGTGAGTCTTTCTAGAGAATTATCGAACCTGAAGGGAATCATAAGAACACTTAAATTAGTAGCAAGCTAGTCAGAAGTGCAGGAGGCCCTGGGAACCCTGATCTTGTGGCTGCTATCTAAAATGAGGGCAGTATGATGGAGAATTGTGCCCTTAACCTGTGAAGTTTAGCCCAACTCCAGGTAGTTGGTGCCGGAAGTCACTGCAGTTGGCAATTTAGCAAGAATACTGCTATTCAGACCGTGCCACCACTGTTTCACATTATTTCAGGCTGCTCTTTTTAAAAATGGGGTTAATATACAAGAGTTTCCTTCCTAAGACTTTGGCAATTAACTATTACTATATTGAAACTGATTTGTATCAAAATTCAAAATAAATAATTAATGAGTGTTTACAAATTAATCACAGAACTCAAAGTCCCAGTTTGATCACCTAGTAGGTGATACCAGTTCTAACTGAGAAGAAAGTAGAAATATGATGTGGCTCAACAGAACTCAATCAGAGAAGGTAATAGAGAGTCACTTCTTACAACTAGAGTATTTTAGAAGTGAAACAAGCTTTTGTGATCATTTGGTTCTCTTTTTAAAACAGTTAAAGGGACTTCCCTTGTGGCACAGTGGTTAAGAATCTGCCTGCCAATGCAGGGGTCACGGGTTCGAGTCCTCGTGCGGGAAGATCCCACATGCCCTGGAGCAACCAACCCCGTGCGCCATAACTACTGAAGCCCGCGGGCCTAGAGCCCATGCTCCACAACAAGAGAAGCCACCACAATGAGAAGCCCGCACACCACAACGAAGAGTAGGCCCCGCTCGCTCCAACTAGAGAAAACCCGCGCACAGCAGCAAAGACCCAATGCAGCCAAAAATAAATAAATAAATAAATTTATTTTTTAAAAACCCCCAAAACAGTTAAAACAAATCCAAAAAATTAGTAAGGTCAAACTCTTAACTCGTTCCATTATGTACAAGAAGTAACCGTTAACGATAACGAACACCTTGAAGTTGGTTTCTGTCCTATAGGACTTTACAAACTTAACTTACTTTGCATAGCATTCAGCCAGCAAAGATACATACATAAGTACCATATGATGGTCTATTTTTATATATATTGTCATACATATGTTTGTGTCCTAAAAATCTAAGGTTATAACTGAGGATATTTTTTTAAAGCTATGTATAACCAATCACAGAAACTAAATAGAAATTAATCAATGAATTTCTTAAAGGCCTGAAACCTGGTGAACATCACATTTGGTCATGCCAATGAGTCAACCATTATAATCTGTTCAAAGGAGAGATTAAAGACTATAAATTATACTGCCAGGACCTAGTACCACCTGATGGACATTTTTTAAGTGGTAGAACTGTATTTTCCCAGAAATTCACTTAAACCACAGAAGTTTATAGTAATTTTTTAAAGAATAAATAGTAAAGAAAGTTATGCAGTTTTATTTTGGATAAAAATTACTTATCTGTGCACACGTAAAAGGTACATTTTATGTGACTATTCTATGAAGGCTATCCTATGTGACTATTTTATGTGACTATTCATATGAGGAGTTCTTAGTTTGTTTATACTAGTTCTTATCAACATCAGAATATAAAGGTTATTTTAAGATTCTAATGTATATCTTACCTGACAAATATTTCAGTTTTGCTATTAGGAAGACAGCTTGCAGAAGACCGGGAACAGTTCTTACTATAGTCTCCAGGATTGAGGTACAACGTCTGAGAAGTGGAGAAAGAGGTGGTCCAGGACTTGCAGGCTAAACAAATCAGCAGATCATTTTTTAGAGGTTTATAATAGTATTTAGCTAAAAATAAACATATTAATTGTAATGTGAAGAGCAAAAATCACATATTTTTCTAAAATTTGTCTTATTCTATTTATTGCCCAATATTTGTACTATGACTGGACTAACACTAATTTATCTCCCTGGGATCTATGAACAGACTATATAAATGATGGCTTTTGCTCAGCGAAACAACTGTGAAATTATTATACAGTTACTAATTTGATAACATATGAAATGAGCGTATCTGTTTAAAAACTCTGTCGAGAAAACATATCTGTTCAGAGGAATGATAACGAGAGGTAGTTTCTTGCTGGAATTGAGAGTCAAGGCAATGTGAGTTCTAACTCTAAACCTGCCTTGTGATTTACTCAGTTGAGTAACTTGCACCACCCCCTAAAATACTGTAAGGTCAGTTTTTAGAGAATTCAGATTTCACCATTCTAGTAAAAATCTGAAGCTTGAACACTCACGTATACTACACCAAATGTCTCATACCTTCATATTCCCCACTTTTCCGCCTGGCATGTTGTAGGCCCTCAAATTTTTTTTCTCTTTTTATTAATAGTGAATACGATAACTAAAGCAGTACTACTTTTTATTCTTTTAATGGCTGCCTATTCAACCCACCTTTATCCAGTGGTTATTCACTCACAATTTAGAAATGTGATATTAGAGTTTAAATATCAAATGTTCATTCTCCCTGCTTTGCCTTACTAATGCTCCTTTCTTTATCTGAAGGATGATCCTCCCATCCCCCCAATCTTACACTCCACATACACAGATTCTTAACTGGAGCACCACCTCTTACTGACAGTCACTCCTACGAAGAGCCATTGTTACTAACAAGAAAGTGTGGTATCTTCTCACTATGTTGAGGCATCAAAAAAATGTGCGCTCAAAAGGATTTTCAGAGTATAAAACTATTGATGCCTAGAATACTTCAACTTCTTGAAATTTCTATAGTGCTTATAATCTATATAATAATTCAGCATTCTTTGTCTTATACAGTTCTATAGTAGTTTCATATTTTGTTTTGCCTCTCTTATAGGGCTAAGTATCTTTACGTGTCTCAAAGATCAGACTTTTTTTTTTTGGCATTTGATCCATTTTATTTATTTTTAAACATCTTTATTGGAGTATAATTGCTTTACAATGTTGTGTTAGTTTCTGCGTTATAACAAAGTGAATCAGTTATACACCTCTTCCCTCTTGCGTCTCCCTCCCACCCTCACTATCCCACCCCTCTAGGTGGTCACAAAGCTCGGAGCTGACCTCCCTGTGCTATGCGGCTGCTTCCCACTAGCTATCTATTTTACGTTTGGTAGTGTATATGTCAATGTCACTCTCTCACTTTGTCACAGCTTACCCTTTGCCCTCCCCATATCCTCAAGTCCATTCTCTAGTAGGTCTGTGTCTTTATTCCCATCTTACCCCAGGTTCTTCATGACCTTTTTTTTTTTCTTAGATTCCATATATATGTGTTAGCATATGGTATTTGTTTTTCTCTTTCTGACTTACTTCACTCTGTATGACAGACTCACACAGTAATGGGTACAGAGTATATTCTTAAAACATTTATTTCTTCAGTGTAACTGAAAATAATGAAAGCATAGGTAAAAGGGTGAAGTTCTGATAATGTTCTCTGCCAACTGCTAAGAATTACTCATTGTTTTTTACTGTAATTTCACAGTGAATCATAGAAAAAAACCAGGACTTATATAGACAATCTCTAATATGTTTGATTTTAGAAAGTATATATATAAAAGGGCCAAAGTAGAAACGGAGCTGGAGAGACAGGTCTGCCTTCCTGATATTTCCCCAGGAAAACAGCATTTTAAATGCTAATTAGATTCTTATCATGCTGATGAAGGTTATATTATGGAAAAATAGGATGTCTGTGGACTAGGGACCCAACTACCATTTAACACGTTATTTTTTGCTCCTTGTACAGTTTACTCTCGGCAGAGCTGCCAGAAGACTCCTTTTAAAATGCTGAACTGGATCATGCTGGAAGCCTTCTGGTGGCTCCCCGCTGTACTCAGAACTGAAGCCAGAGAAGTTACCACACTGGTCTCTGCGCTGAGACCTCACAGTGACTACTCCCCAACTCCTCACACTGTCCTGGGCACACTCATCTCTGTGTCCCTTTGGGCCACCTGCACAACAGCTCCCTTTGCCTGAAACACTCTATACCATATTCCCACAACCTTCAAGTTTTTGTTCAAATTTTCCCATCTTAATGAGGCCTACCCAGACCACCTTATCTAAAATTACTACCCCCTCTGCCCTGTTCTGTTATTTTCTTCTGTGATATTCTAACACGCTACATGATTGACTTAATTATATTACGTCTCCTCCTGCTAGTACTCATGTTTCAAGAAGGCAAGGGTTGTAGTTTGTTTTTACAAACTATTTCCCCAGCTCTGAGCAACACACTTGTGCAGGCATTTGTTGAATGAAATCTAAATACTGCATGAGTACTGAAAAATGTTTTCCAACTCCTTAGCAACTGAAAACAGATATGACTGAGACTGAGATCAATCCCAGGTGTGATTCCAGATGGATTAGTTGAAAAAAAACAGGTCATCAAAGTCTGGAAAAGGACATGATGGTCAATGAAAGGCAGCATGAGTTCCCTAAGGGAAGGTCATGAACAGTTACTGAAGTTCATTTACAGTTACTGAAGCTGTAAATCAGAGAGAATGCTTTTAGGAATGAAATATTTGCTAGTGCCCGTCACGATATCCCTGTGTTGAGTTGTGAGTTGAGTATAATAAAGTCAAGTCATCTGCTTACTGTCTGTAGTGAGAGTGTTGACTAACGGATCCACATTAACTGGGAATGAACTCCCTGGCAAAACAAAAGAGGGCTCCATTCTTTGTTCTACTCAGAGCTAGACAGGCAGATGACAATCAGGATCCAAAAGGACAAGGTAATCTGGAATTATGGGATAAATCTGGAGAGAGAAAATTTCACAGGGATAAATGTAGAGTCCTACACTTGGGTCCAAAGTTATAGTGAATAACCAATCTAAGGACTTCAGTTAACAGTTAATTCAATAGGGGTCGATAATGTAATGTGATTCACAAAAAGGAAGCTAGATGGACATCCAGAATTAGGGAGCAAAGAATCTCTTCTAAGTCTTGCAGTCCAAATCCATATTTGGAAGAGTGAGCTTAATGAGGCACTGATCAAATGAAAAACATCCTCAGGCTTACAACCAGCGTGCTCAAACTATGTCATGAATAAAGAAATGGCTGGAAACCTGGAATTGTTTAGAGGAACATGAAAACTAATTTCCAAAATCTGAAGGTGTGTTTTATGAATGAGGAATGGTCCTTGCCTAGACTAAGTAGCTGGACTTGCTCCATGTCACTCCAGAACAGAAGAAGGACCGATAAATGGGTGAATTTTGTAATATAAAGCGAAGTCTGAGTTAACATAGGAAATACAGTCTAATAATCACAGTTATACAATACGAACTGCATCTCTGAGTGCATCCAGAGATGGGATGGGCACTTAATGAGGATGTTGTGGAGTAGATTAGAATACCAGGTGGGTGTCTGAATTAAATGACTTCTAATACTTTGTTTAAATTTAAGATTTTATGAATTACAAATGAATGTTTGTAAACCAACACATTTATTAGCTGATAGTAGTCATTACTGTAAATAGTTTCATTAAAAATTATTTCACCTAATATAGATACAAATACTTCCATTTTAAGATGCCGATTATAGTCTAACATGTAGAACATAATTTATTAGCATCTTTTATAAAACACCATGTAAATGCATCCTTGAAAATAAGTCCCAGAATTACTTACCTGCAGTGGACAGAAATTCAGATATTCTGTAATAATTTCTAGCAAGAAATCAGGATTTAACTTCTCAAAATACTGTATTCCAAGAGGTAAATCTTCTAAGTGTGAAAAATGAGTGTCTAGGACATCATTTAACAAATTAATAACTTCTTCTTGTCGTTTATTTTTCTTCATAGCAAGAACTGCATGTAAATAGGTTAATTCCTGGAAAATAGGTAGTTTTCATAAATTACTCCATGCAGTTATAAAGCCATTTATTTCTACTTAGATTTCAAAAGAATATGAAGTGCTGTTTATGTACAGTATTTGTTCAAACTTAAATTATTAGCTTGGACGGATTTTTAGAATCTTAAGTCTAATTATGCACAGAGGTAAATTAATAAATGTAATTACATATTAAAATTAGTGTACAATAGTCTTCTAAAACCATTACTAAATATTAAGACATTAAAAATTTCATATTTTATAAATAGTAGCTAGGATCTACCATCTGATAAAATAAAATACTATACCGCCGATTTTCCAATAGACTGCTGAATTTCGCTAAGGAATTCTAACTGCTGATCTGCTTCTTGTAGTTGCCCTTCTATTAATTGACATTGGATAAATCCTAAAAAAATAAAATAAAATAAACAAAAATGGTAAAAATCCACATCATTTCACGCACGTACACTTCAAGCTAACGCAAACAAAATTAAACAAGATTTTTTTTGCCATAATACATCTAAGTTTTAGATTTAAAAACAAAGACAGAAGAAGAAAGAGTGAAAGAAAAGAAAATGGGTAGCTTTGTACCCACAGAAAATCAGTTACTACAGTATTCATAATTTATGTGAATTATCTCATAAAAATCTATTCTCTTAAGATAGTATTTAAGAAGTAAAAATTTTATTCTTAAAGGTACATGTTTTTTTTTCTGTTGTAGACAGTGGTGAACAGTTTAATTTTAGAAAACCATAAAATATGTCTTTTCTTCTTTAATGGCCGGTATGAAAAGCAATCATTACTTGCATCTGTATGAGGATCACTCAAAGATATGGTTGTCATACCAATTAGTGCAGAGACACTGGTTTCATCTAGTGTCATGGCAGTCTTATACCACTTCAATGCCTCTTTAACTTTCCCCTGTAAAATCATTTGGTATCCAAGTTCTGTAGCAAATTCTGATTGCTGAGGAGTTAAACTAAAAGCTCTCTCTAGTAATGTTTGGGTTTTTTGAAGAATCAGTTGACTACGTCCACACTAAAAAGAAAAAAAAAATTTAAGTTAGATTAAAACACTTCTACTCGGAAGAATTCATTTTTTCTAAATGTACATATAAATAATTTTTATTTCACAGATTCAGAATGTAGGAAGAATATAAAATAATTTCATAAAGAAAAATAAAACTACTCCATTTACTATCTAGACAGTGCAGCAAGAGTTCATATCCTATCAGAATTTAAACAACCTTATGAGTAATGCTTTTAAAAAACAGCTATCTTGAAAAGTTTACTGCTTCTAATGATGCTGCACAAGCAAAATATTCAGAGCTCTTTTTTCAAACTGTCTCATGATTGTCCTGTAATCAGAAAAGAAAATCATTACTTTAAGGTTTTATATATATTTATGTGTGTGTATATATATATATATATATATATACGTGTGTGTATATCTAGAGTAATATAGAGAAACATATATATTTTATTGAATATATATATTTTTATTGAATCAAAAGCTAGGACAAGGATCTGCTTTACCCCTAAAGACAAGTATACCACCAGTGAGAACCATGCCTTAGAATCTTCTTGAAAAAAAGCCTTCAAAAATATTTCAAGAAATGGCAATGCTGTCAGAATAAATATACACTTTTTGAACATAACAAGTTTGAAGAGTTGTTACTTACTAAATTGTTTGATTTGTTGTAAAGTAATAAAAACCATGTGTCTGGCAGTAGGTAAATAAAAAAGGTAAATACCCCCCCTTAACTCAAACTTCCATAATAGTGGGGCGGCGGGGCAGGGACAGTTCCTCTAAATTTCACATGATCTGACAATCTTTGTTTTTAAATAAGAGAATTCAGTTTATTCATGTCATTTAACAATTAATATCCTTGATTATTTTCTTTCAACTTTATTTTAATAATTATTTTACTTACTCTGTGTCTCCTTTCCTTATTTAGATTTTTCTAGTTTAGTTAACTTTTCAATCCTCTCATTTCTTGTACTGATTTTAAAATTCTGCTGTATTTTTCTTTTCCATTCCCAATTACCTTTTTACTGGGTGCTTGTAATAAAATCATTTCTTTATTATTATAAAAAAATAAGATAGCAACCACTTCCCCCACCCAAACAGCCTATTACCCACTTCACAACGTTCAAAAAATAGTTTTTAAAACATAAAACAAAGAACAATCCTAGTCGTAAATCCTACGCTCTGATTCCCATTTCCTTTGTCTGGAAGGCACTTCCCTATCCTTAAAGGATTCACGGGTACCACTTCCTCCATGATACCTCCATGATGGCTTGATCTCTGGAAACTGTATCTCCTCTGAACTACCTTAAGAATGTATCACATATTTATAGACACATCACATTTTCACTCTAGGTCATGTGCTTTTTGGTGCCTCAACATTTGTGACTAATTTTATATTTCCAGCTACAAATAACAGAGCTCTGCTGGCACTCTTACAGTTCTGCTGAAGGCTATTGTGATATTATAAAAAAGTTGAGCATTCTGTGGTTCCATGGCATCTAGTGCATTTCCTAAGTTTTCCAGCTTGGTGGCAGCCTAAAACAAAAAGTATTCAGTATTATTTAAAAATAAACTAAGAATAAAAGAACATAATACATGACATGTACACTAATAAATATTATTATTAATATTTAAAAAGATCTTTGCTTTTACAAAGTCCCCTTCTTCCAATGAAATCTTATATGTTGTAAGAGGATAAAAGGCCCTTTTCTAAAAAGTTGAATAATTATAAATAAATAACTGCATTTTAAAATGTGTTTCCTTAATAATTGTTATTGAATGGAAACCTTTGGGTTTCCTAAGGGTGGGTAAAGATACCCATAATATTCAATTAACTATACATGCCAAGCTCCCTCTCCAATAATTAATTCATAACACATGAGATATGAATGATAACATATTTACAAACATTACTATAATATGAAATCAGTCCTTGGATTACCTATATAGCCTGGTTTATATTTAAAATATTTTCTAGAACAGAAAAATCAGATACTTGACATAAATAATTTCAAAGCCTGGAAAATTTACTGAAGAGTTGCTCCTCTAAGATTCTTCTAGTATTTACTGAAGTATTTACTAGGTACTATCATATTATCCAATTTAACCAGACTAAATACCAGTCTAAATCTATCACTTGTTATAATACTATTTACTTCAGACTGGATTTTGGCATTCCATAATCTACTGTACAGTCAATGTGTCCACTAGCAGAGAAAACATGTGCCTTATAAGGTCCAATGGGATTTCATCCTAAGCCCATTTAACTTATGCAAACTCAATAAAATTGTAAAAGTACTATGAATTATATTTTGTGTACGTTCTCTTCCATACCCAGCATCACTTGTTACATTAATCATATATATTACTGCACATGAGTTTTACATAGAAACAGCACGTGCTGTAGTTAATAATTTTAAAAGTTTTCATAGGTAATTTTAACTATATGATATTTTTGCTTTACTAGGTGATTTAACAAACCCACCTCTTTGTTAAGGTATATTTCTAGGAATCAACTAAAAACTACCATGTCATACATTCTAAAACAGCACTTCAAGGCTCTTTTGTATGTGCATGTGTGTGTGTAACTAAATACATATTTAGTATAGGAAACATAAATATAATAGTACAATACAACTTACCTTCTCTATATCCCCCTCCCTACACAAATAGTAAAGGGCCATCATTCTTAGTGCTTCCACATTTTGATTATCTTGCAGCATTAACCTGCAAAAAAAATTTCAGTTAATGTTATGTATTTTTATTTGATGCCTTGAAAACTTGGTTTGCTTATTATTCCACTGTTTAAATAAGTAATTTTAATTAGTAAAGTGGCATCTCCTTTATGAAAATTATCAATCTCATTATTTAAACCCCAAAGAATCTCTGGATCTTAATTTTGATATGTTTACAAAAGATATGAATACATTCTACCATACTCAACAGTATATTAAAAGAATAATTCACCCTGACCACACAGATTTATTACAAGAATTCCAGGAATGTAAAGATGGGCTGAATATCAAAAACTCTATTAATGGAATTCACAACATTACAATAGATCCAATGTGGTAAAAATAAATTAGAAAATGTTATTAAAAAATCCTTTTAATAATAGGAACAAAATTTAGTAAGAAATATGCAAAAGCTACAGAAATTCCTATAAAACTTTATCAAGGGTATTCAGAAACGGAACTGAATAAATGGGGTAACACACTAGGTTTCTTATCATGCACGGTGTGCTATGTTGAATTATTAGCTCCAGCTTTTTCACTCTCCCTGATTACATGCTTTCTGCCATGTAACTGAGCAGTTCCCCCTACAAATGCTGGCTTGTGCCTCACTGCCCCTAACTATAAACGTGGACATTTTTCTTGGCCAATGGGATGCGGACAGGAATGGCGGTGTGCCACGCCTGTTTCAGAGGCATCGCATATTTCTGCTTGTCCTCTGCAACTCTGCTATCACCATAAGAAGGGCTTCCTCTAGGTAGCTGGTGTTCTTTGGCTGGAGCCCAGTGAAGAACACCCTTCGAGTGGACCAGAGTCCAAACTGCAATGAGGTGCCACGCCCTCCCAGCTGGATCTGAAACTTGAAGCAGAGTCCCAGACACACATCTGGACCGGGTCAGTAACCCTAGATGACCCACACCAAAGTACAAATTAGGGCACAGTATCACATGCCCTGAGATGTGTGGTTGTTTCCTGTAGATCAATAGCTGCTTAATGATAATACTCATTTGGGGTTAAAAAAATTCTCCCCAAATAATCTACAGACTTAATGCAGTTCAACCCAGTATCTTATAGTTTTTTGTTATTTTTAAACAAGTTATTCTGATAGTCAACTGCAAAAGGGCCAAAAAAGCTATCAAAAAAGAAACATGATGGAGAACTTCCCCTAAAAGATGTAAAAATCCATTAATAAGAAAGAACAGATCCCATTAAAAAGAAAAAAAGAACCAGTCAATATACAGAAAAAAAAATAGCTTTTAGCATAAAAAAGATGCTCAATGGCAACATGATCAAGGAAATGAAAATAAAAATAAGTTACCATTCTTATTCTACCAGATTGTTTAAAAAACAAATAAAAAACCCCACATTGACAATAGCCAGAATTGGTAAGGATGGGGGGTGGGCATGCAGTAGACTACTAATGAGAATCTTAGTATAATTTCTTACAAGAACAATTTGGCAGCGTTTATCAAAATGTCAAATGTGTATACCTGAGGCAGAGGCTGCAATCTCTCCTCAAGTCCACCCTCCCCTTATTTGCTTGGGCTCAGGGCTAGCCAGCACTTCCCAGCCATCTCTGCAGGTAGCCATGGCCAATGTGAGAGGAAGCAGTTTATGGCATTTCTGGGCCTGGGCTTTTGAGAAAAGTGGAATGACTCCTCTACACTCTTTCCCCTCTTACCAGCTGGACACCGATGTCATGAGGTTTTAGGAAATGGCAGAGTTGCAAGATGGAGAGCTTGGGTCCCTTGAAGACAGTGTGGAAGAAGGCTGCCTGATCAAATCTTACACCCACTCAAAACAGTTACATGTGACCAAAAAACAAGCTCACTGTGTTAAAACATATGTTTGGATCTACTTTTTATAGGAGCTTAGCTTACCCTAAAAAAATATAATTCCCTTTAAATTAGTAATCCCTCATTTGGGAAACCATCCTTCAGAAATACTCCTATATGTGTATAAAGGGGTGTGTGTGTGTGTGTGTGCGTGTGTGTGTGTGTGTGTGTGTGTGTGTGTTCACTGCAAATATTTAGAACAGCAAAAAATTAGAAACATGCCTACCAATGGAGAAAGATAAAATAAACTATATTTATGTTCACTTTAGAGATGCTATTCATTGTTAATAAACATAAAAGGGTATCCATGAAATACTAAGTTAAAGAAAAATCAAGTTTAAAAGCTATATAACAAGTCTATTTTTCATTTTTTAAATGCCCCCCAAGATATATGCATATATTTATACATTATGTGGATACCTCCCACTCCCATCCCCCCCCACACAGTGCCTAGAGAGGAAATCTGGAAAAATATAAACATCAGAAATTTACTTATACCCAAATTGTGGTCTCCAAATACCATTTCTCAGTAAAAGGAATTAGATTGCCCTGGACCATGGCTGATACCTGAACAGGGCAGTAAATACACAAAATAACCCTGGTATATCTTGTCATACCAAATAGTAAGGAAACTATCAAAGACTACTAGGGTCATGTCAAAAAAGACTCAAGAACTAACTTGAAGAAGCTACTAATGGCCAAAGATAACTCAATCTGAGCAATTATAATAACCAAAATGGTTAGAAACACTCAAGTTTAATCCATGTCATATAAACAAACAAACCCAAACCACTATCAATCACCAATGGAGAATGCTAGGGATGCTAGGGGCCTTTTTTGTTTGTTTCTGAAACCTGGAAATAAGGGAAGAGACTCAAGCATTTATCCAACTTTTCTTACATGAACTATAACACTAGATAACCAATCAGCAGGCTGGAAGTTTTTCTTTATAGGAGGATTCTAGCTAAGAAATGCAGAAAGAATGACATAACCATACTGTAATCCTAAACCAAGTACCCAGGTATTGAGCTCGAATTGCTGCTAATACCACAAAAAAGAGAGACAAGCCTAGATTATGTCTCTTTGATGGAAGAACACATCAGCACTTATGAATTAACTGCCAAACAAAGAAACAGTGAATGTGAATCTAACCAAGTCTCTAGATCCATCACCAATTTATTAGAAATACTGAGAATACGCAATAAGCTACACAGTTATGGCATACAATCAATACAATTCATATCATTCAAAACCTGTAGGATAAAAATACTGGTTTCTTTAACTTATTTATTAGCAAGAACAAAAAGAGGAGGGGGTTGTTGGGGAGGAAGAGGAACAAAGCAGGAAGGGAAGAAGGGAGACAGGGAACCCTCCAATGCCTTCACACTTAAGAAAACCCAAAATCTTTACCGTGACCAACAAGACCCTGTGCTCTGACGTCACCGCCTAGTCATCTTGCTCCTTCCCATCCTTAACCATATGACACGTACTCTTGCCTCAAGGTCTCTGCACTTGCATTTGCTTCTTACTGCAGTTTTCCCTGGGATGTCTGCAAGCTGGCTCCCTCTGTCAAATGCCATCTTCTTACAGGCCTTCCCTGACAACCCATAAAATTGAAGCCCCTCCCCTCGGTCCCTAGTTCACTTTCCGGCTTTATTTTTTCTCCATGGCACTTATAACTTTTTAACATACTACATAATTTCTTACTTGTTCTGCTTATTATATAAGCTTCATGAGGTCAGGGATATTTGTCTTTCTGCATATAAGAGTCTTTTAGAATAGCTACCCAGATATTTACGTAAATCTATAAATTCAGCCTTTAAAAACAATGCAACGTTAAGGTTTTCCTCAATTCTATATTGTTTGAAAAATTCAAATTAAAAAAACCTTATCAGAAAAAAATACACATAGATTTTTTTTCTCAAAATTACAACCAGATCCAAAGATACTTGTGACATCTTTTTCTACTTAACCTCTGTGCTGTCTCAACCGTCTGGTCCCAATCCTGCAAGGCTAGTTGTAGTTTCATTTTCTTTACAAAAGCAGGAAGGAAACTTGGAAAGTTCATGATTATCTGGTTCACAGTCTCCAGAGCACCTGAATAATTCTGGCGCATCTCAAGGCACTGTGCCTAATGGGAGAAAAAAGAAAAAAGTGACATCAAAACTGTGATCATATATACTAAGGTTCTCACAGCAGTTACCCTGGAAGAGGTAGAATTCTAGTATTTAACATTTTTTATATTTTTATTTTCTGACCTTTCTGTAAGAAATAGTTTTCACTTTTATAATCAGAAAAACAAAATAAGTTTTAATCAAACAAAATTTTAAAACATCACAGAATAAAAATATTTTATAAGTGACTGTTTTAAAATCCACTTTTGGTGCTTCCCTGGTGGCGCAGTGGTTGGGAGTCCGCCTGCCGATGCAGGGGACGCGGGTTCATGCCGCGGTCGGGGGGATCCCACGTGCCGCGGAGCGGCTGGGCCCGTGGACCGTGGCCGCTTGGCCTGCGCTCCGTGGCGGGAGAGGCCGCAGCAGTGAGGGGCCAGCGTGCCGCAAAAAAAAGAAAAAAAAAAAAATCCACTTTTAAATAACTGAGAAATATAACTACAGGATGAAAATTCTGAAATATTTTTAGAAACATCATAAGGAATGCTTCTATTTATAACAGAAAAATTACCTTTTAGAATAAAATATTTCCAGGATATTTGCAAGTAGCATTTAAAACTAATAGATAGTGTATCTTTTTTTTTTTTTTGATATTGTATCTTTTTTAAAAAATTACTTTCAGGCTAAAGAAGATTTTAGAGAATCAGCAAAATAAAGTACAAAACTACCTCAATATTTTCACTCCTATGAATTATCTTAAGGACATAAATGGATAAGACCAAAAAGAAGCATATTTATGGCAGAACTATTTATAATAGAAAAAATTAAAATAACCGGAAATGGCCACCTAGGATTAAATGATAGCATATTTACTTAATAAAATTTTAGGTGGCCATTAAAACTCATTATGTTAATTTGTAGATCGATATTTACTGACACGAAGAGATGTCATTTACAATATAATAGTTTAGCTGGTTATCTCCAATGGTGATATTTATTTTTAATTCAGATATTACTGTATTCTAAAATTTTTCTACAATGTACATGTACTACTTTCATAGTCAGAAAATATAAATCTATAAATATAGTAAGTGCTTTAAGAACAGATGATGAGGCATATTTATCATACGTCAGATTTTTAAATATGTGTTTCTGAATATCCTTTAGGAATAAATTTAGTCCTAGAATATCTCAGTTCAAAATGAACATCCAGCCTCAACAGATGTACAGTAAAACTGCAATATATTCCCGAAACCAGTTTGAGATTATGTTCCCATATAATTAAAGGAAAGTACGAGAACCATCCAAAGATGCCACTATGTCAAAATAAATTATTATTTAAATTTCTCAACAGTGGACAATAATAGCAAAAAAGATTAATGCAGATAATTTTTAAAAATATATATGCCTTTGCAATCTGCCTAAATAGCTAGTAACATAAAATAACAAAATCATGCAAATAGACATCTAATACTTCCTTAGACCATCACCTCCCATATAAATGCAACATACTATATTAAATGAAACTAAATTTGCTATATAATTGGTTCATATCATTCCTAGTTGGAATTCAACTAATGCAAGCCTCTTGCTGAATGAACTGAAAAATAAATACATAATTGGAATGGGTTATATCAGAAAAAGAATTTAAACCAGTCTAAAGTATTAGAGGAAAAAGGTAAATCCTTCCTAAGCTGCTTATATTGACACGTGAAATAGCCCTACCTTAGATTACCTACTAGCTTTTCTTTAAGGAACAGAGGGGAGCAGAAACGATCAAGAAAAACTTCTTTAAAAATTTGCTAAATTCCCATAACCTCTAGCAGTGCCATTAGGCAAAACCTGAGTCCAAGCAGCACGAATACTAGTTGTACTGGTGGCAAACATCTGAACAAGCTCACTAGCCAGGGAAATTGACAAGAGCAATATATGGACATTGGCAATAGCCAAGACACCAATAATCCTCTCTTTCTTTTTTATCCCCCCACACCAGATTACTGCTAATTTAATAGACTGTTTTCCTAATATAAATTTAATTCTTTTTGCTGAAATAAAAAATGATCTTTTTTTAATTTAAGGCATTCAGATGGCATCCATGGAATTGAAGAAAAAGTCCAAATTAAACATTTCTACTCACCAATGATTTCTAATGACACTGCCACTTGGTCATCCCTCTCAATCTAAGTTAGATCATGTTATTTCTCTTTTCATTGGCTGCTCATCTATCTGGTTCAAAGCAAAAGCCAAGGGCTTTACAGAATCAGCCAGTCTCTCCTCATTCCCCCCCCCATGCCCACCTGCCCTGACACTCACCTTCTCTCCCTCTAGCCTTCACTTTTCTCCCCTTCACTCATTCTGCTTTAGTCTCCAGGCCTCCTAGCAATGCATTCAACATGCTTAACGTATATAAACTCTCTACTCCCCTATTTGTAATGCATGCTCTCCCCAGGTGCCCACAGGGCTTTAACCCTCACCTCCTACATGTCTTTGCTCAAATGTCACTTTCTCTGACCATTTAAAACTGCAAGTTCATACCCCAGTTGTACTTCTTCTTTCCTTGCTTTATTTTTCCATTGTACTTACCACCTTCTAATATACCATACAATTCACTTACTTTTATTGTCTGTCTCCACCAGTAGAACATAAGCTCCATAAAAGCAAGAGGTTTTATTTTGCTTAGGGTATCCCTAGTATGTAGAGGGATGCCTCACACAAATTAGATACATCATAGATGTTTGGTGAGTAAATAATATAGGAACCACCACAACTGCCAACAGCAACAACAAAAACAATTAAAACTGATCCAGGATTCAGGAATTTGGCAGGGAGTACTTTTCTCTAGCTTACGTTCATCGTCCCATACAAACGCAAGTCCCTCCTGCAGTTGAGAGTTGATAAAAGTAACATAAAACCTATCTTTTTGAGCTACTTGGTTTTGTTGGGTTTCATATATATTACAAATAAATTTTAAAACATCATTTTATTAATCTGACACCAACTCACCTTACCCAGCAGAGCAAAAATATCATTTCCATCTTGTAATCCCTCTTCAAAATACCTTAGTGCTTTTTTAGTGTAAGGTTCTTTTCCTCTTGTAATATCAAGCCATGCTCTCAAAACCTGTCCCTGTAAAATGAATAATTCTAAATTTTCATTTTTTTGGAAATGAAATAAATGTTGATGAAGAAGTTAAACTAAGCATCATTCTTATTTGTAATTAGTAACAAAAATCAGTCTATCAAATAATGTTATGAAAAATAAGACTGCAATAAAATCACTTTTAAACCCTTGCTAGCCTACAGTCTTGGAACTATTATGAAGTTCAGCCTTTAAGATTACTACTGTGGTTAATATTAAGAAGCTTGTAAAATATTCCCTTAGTACTAAATAACCAATATTCCTACATGGGGCTTTGCTAATAAATTACTAATAACTACTAAACATGTAATTCAATACATAAATAAGAATTTGTTACCTCTTTTTGGGGAAATAGACCAAATGAACTAAGATGGGAAAAAAGAAGTGCTTTGCTTCACATTTATTAAAAATTAAGATAATTTGGCAACTATCTCAATCTCTTTGACTAGTCCAGTGAGCTTCAAATGAAAGGATAAAATGGCCTCAGAAATTAAAAAATGAAGAAACCATGAATGTTTACCTTCAGAAATGTTAGTGAGCCAACGGACTGTAAGGTTTATAGGATTAGAAAGAAGATGAATACATGTTGATTATTTTTCTTTTTAATGCCAAATAAAAAATTATGAAATCTGCTCGTCTGTCAAAAAATTTCTAGGTTAATTAACAAACCTTATAAATCTTTAACTAAGATCATATTTACTTCCCTATATTTCACCTGAAAGGACAGGTAAGAATACCTAAACAGGGCTTCCCTGGTGGCGCAGTGGTTGGGAGTCCGCCTGCCGATGCGGGGGATGTGGGTTCGTGCCCAGGTCCGGGAAGATCCCACATGCCACGGAGCGGCTGGGCCCGTGAGCCATGGCCGCTGAGCCTGCGCGTCCAGAGCCTGTGCTCCACAAAAACAGAAAAGACAAAAAAGAGAGGCCCCCGACCCCCAAAAAAAAAAAAAAAAAAAAAAAAAAAAACCTAAACAATGTTATTTCTACTCATTAGATCACTGTACTTTCTTGAATCATTTCAACTGTGTGGATGATTCCCAACCTTTATTTCTAGTCCAATACCTTTTCTAATTTTTTCTCTTCTTTTTCTAGAAGCTCATCTACTGTCTCCATCTCACTGTTCTGTCAGAGCCTGAAATATAGAATGTCTAAAACCAAACACATCACCTCCCTCCAAGATTACCTTCTCATCCCAAAGTATTTTCTAGTCACATTAACTGGTCTCTGAATTGTCCAGGCTTAAAACCTCAGAGACATCCTTGATATCTGACACCTCAGTATCTTTCCCCCCAATATTTATAATAAGTTGAAAAGTCCTGCGGGTATTTGATAATTCTCAAATTCTTACCTGAATTTGATACACTGAATAGTATTTTAGTGTAGGCCCTTAAAGCCTTCTGCCAGAAAGTACTATCTTTGGGGGCCTACATTCTGGTTTCTTCCCAGGTCAGTTCATCCTATAAACCTTTGCTAAATTCACCTTCTGAATTTGCACTTTAATAACATCACTGACATGATTAAAACTCTTCAATGACCCTCAGTGCATATTAAATTAGATACAAGTATTTGTACCTAGCCATCAAGATCCTTCAATTTGTCCCAACCCACTTTTCCAACCTTTTCTTCCACCCTCTTCTTCTCTGTACCCTGTATTCCCATCAGGTGTGAGGTTCTCACTGTACGCAGACCTACATGTCTCCTTGTTCTTCTCCTTTCTATCTATCATCTCCCACCTTGGGAGTACCTACTTCCCTTTTCCATAATCTTTGCCTGTGGAAACTATCCATCTTTCAGGTTTTAGCTCAAATGCTACTTCCTTCAAGAAATTCTTCTTCATTCGCCTAACAGTTATCGATGTGATCTCTCCTTGAGTACATAAAATAGTGCCTAGCACGAAGTAAATGATCAATAAATGTTAACTATTATTTTCCTGCACATTTTAATCACACTTCTCTCATTCCATTTGTCCATTTTCTCACAATGTTAATTGGGTGTGTGCTCTGTAACACTGCTAGATGATCCATTCATGAAAGTAAAGTTTATGTATTTTTTATCTTTCTATTATTAACAGTGCAAATAATGGTGCCTTGTACCTAGAGCAGTTCAATAAGGAGAGTGGGAGGGAAGGAAGGAAAAAGAAAAGGAGGGAAGGGAGGGAAGGAACCAGGGACAGCTCTTGTCAAGAGTTAATAAATAACATTAAAAAAACAAGCTTAGAGAACCAATTTTATAAAATATTAAAATAAGGCTGTTATTTATAAAATGAGAATAGAGTGGGCAATAACAAAGCTTTTATATAAATAACATAAGCTTCCGTTAATGTTAGTATTTCAAAATAAGAAAACCAGCTACCTCTTTACTACCATTTGACATTTTGATCATTCGGTCAACGTATTCTCTCGCCTTATCGTGACGACCAATGTGCCACAAAAATAAGCCTGCATGGTACAAAGCTTTTGGTCCAGCTCCTTTACGCTGCTCCTTCACTCTGGCATCTGATTCCTGAATAGCTTCTCTATCTGGGAGAAGGAAAAAAAGACATTAAGTGAAAGTTAAATTCTAGATTTAGAGTTTATAATAGGTCAGATAACTAACAGCAGAGAATATAGTTCTTCTCTCTACAGCAGCGCTAATAAAAATAAAATGCAAGCCACATGTGTAATTTAAAATTTCCTAGTAGCCACATCAAAGAAGTAGAAACAAGTAAAATTCACTTTAATAATATATTTTATTTAACCCAATATATCCAAATTATCATTTCAACACATAATTGATTTGAAAATTATTAAGAAGATACTTTTCTTTTTTTTCGTCTTACTAAATCTTTAAAATCTGGTGTGCACTTTACACAAAGCACATCTCAATTAAGATGTGAAATTTTCTTCAGCAAATCTTTATAGTGAGATTTCATAAAATTTATTTTGGAAAAAGCAGAATCATATACTTGTTCTAAACATAATTTTTCCAACTGAATCAAGCATCAGTTTTAAATTTTAAAGTAAATTAATTAGAATTAAAATTTAAAACTCATGTCCTCAAACGAGACACATTTCATGTGCTCTACAGCCACCTGTGGCTAATGACCGCTGTGACCACACTACAGTTCTATAGTTCATGTCATTCTCAAGACATAAAGGCTATATATGCAAATATTTTTTTAAATACTAAGATGAAAAAGTTGGCAATGATTCTAAAATGAGACAATTATTAGGGGCAAATTCAGAACTAGGAGTCAAATTACCCTACTTCCTAATCCAATTCTAAAATATATAACCAAGCCAGGCTGCTGTCACGGGTTAATGAAAGGTAGTATAATTACTACTTATATAGTTAATACTGACTGCTTGACTGCTCCCTTAAAAAGATGGTCTACGCCTAGAACTCTAATCACTTCTATTTAACCTGTTATGTAAATGCTTGGGACACAACTGTCAGTTAGATCCAAATCCCAGGTCGAATCAAAATGTGGATCAGCTAGCCAACAGAAAGAAGAAATGTCAAAGTTGAGGACTGAGATTCTAACAGACTACCTTTCTGGTAATGGCTACCAAGGAAAGGTACGTGACTCCTCCTTTTAACTCTAAGGATACAAATTTAAATTTAAATGTGGAATTACCAAGGTACAACTTTACGAGTTTAGGAAACAAAATTGTACTCTGGAGGGCTAGAGATTGCTTGGCAAGGGACCCCTTCTGCCCTGCCTACAGCACACCCACTGCAACACCTTCAGAAGTTCTCACTAAATAGGCATGATACAGAAACAGAACTTATGAGGCAGGAGCAGGCATTGTACCTTCCTGCCCAGTCAAGTCCCTAGTGGGGCATCAGCTAGCTGTGATAGTCTACATAAAACTAGTTCTTTCCAGATATCAGCTCAAGTTCTTAATGCATCACAGCCCTTTAATAAACAGGGCTTACATTAGCATTCAGGAAGAATGTACGAGAACAATGTAGGCTCTTCCTAGGCGAGACAGACAGACATCTGGGTCTCTCCTGAACTCAAGCGCACTCAGCATTATTATGGAGGAAAGTGGAGTGACTACTCAGGTGTCTCTAAACAATCCCGGAAATCACATTCTCTAACAGAACCAGTACTCTTGGGAGTAACCAATTAAATAAAAACTTGATTCTAGGAAGCAAACAGTTTGTTAATTTCTCTCTCTCTCTCTTTTTTTTTTTTTTTTAAAGGCTTACTGACTACAGCTCTCCTACACCAATTCTCTGCTCCAGCTACACACACCCCTGCTGGAACATAAAGGAAGGGGATCCAGAGATGAACCTAATCCTGAACCATTTCCACATATTTGCCCATCGAGTTCTCCTGTCTGAGAAGATCAAGTCCCCATTTCCACAGTCTTCCCAGCCTACTCCTATGGATAAACAGTACATGCCATTTCCCCGCACTTTCTTAAAAGTTTTAGAAAGCATTTAGTCGTAGATTTGTTTATGAACTAAACATATTAGTGTTTTAAATAACTTTTTATTTATTTGTACAAGTATATGTGGGTGAAGGATGTAAGTGATACTTTGCTTAAAAAAAACTGTTTTTAATATTTAAAAAAATTTATGACATTTGGTAATTGTTTAATTATTTGAAACAAGATCTATTTTTACAATGCTATTAGCTGTTACTGGATATATATGGATGAATACAATACAATTTCTTTTTTATTACCTATAATTCCAATACTGTTCTGCCTCAGCCATTAAGATATGCTATGTATTAAGACAGTTCACACAATTTTAACTGCTGGTTTATGTATAAAGTTCCTTCTTTAATTTAATCATATTTCCCAACCTACTACTGGATAAAAATTTACTGAATGGCTTCCAAAGAGCTAGCCCCCCTGGGGGATGTAAAGGCTTTTAAGAACCTCAAGATATAGTAGAAGAGAGAAACTGCATGTAGCTATATATGCACAAAACAAGTGGTAAAGTTGGTTGCTACAGAGTAATTTATGTATATGCCTGTTTTGAGCTGTCCTTTCTTGGTTTAACCATTGCTAATATTTATTCACCTTTACATTAATTCAAACAATCCCTACATACTAATGAAACTTCTGCCATAGGATATAAGGAATATGAAAGCAACAGAAGACCCATTTTTCTCATGCTTGATAAACTTAGTCTTGTCAGGAAGATAAAACAACTATGACAAATAGTATCTACAGGTAATACATAATACAGTATGATTAGACTGAATGTTAAGGTGATTGAGAAAAATCAAAATGAATTGAGTAGAAAAAACTGTCTAAGCATTGTACTTAAATACTGTACCTGGATTGGGACTCATTTTATGAGTGTATATTAATGCAATTAGAGAACAAAGTGATACATCTTGTTTATTTTTAATAGCCTCAAATTCTCGAAGAGCTTCTTGAGTTTTACCTGAAAATCAAAATTACAAAGTGAAAATTGTTCTTTGTGCAAAACAAGAATTTAAAACTTATGGAAATGTTTAATAATTAGCACATACCTTCCATTAATGTACCATAGGCATAATAAAACCTGAAGACGGGATCACTGCCATACCTCTTAGTTCCCTCACTGGCAGCAAGTAACACATGATGGAAATATCTCTCTTGACAATAGTAATTAATCAAAGTCTAAGAGGAAATAAAGACTAAATGTTAAAAGAGATTCTGATGTTCTGAAATACTCTAAGCAGATATTAACCTAAGATCTTGAATAATCTAAAACTTCGATAACGTATTTTTTTCTTCCAACTTCCTTAAATACTGTTAAAGGCTAGCACTTAAGGAATGTAGAACACAGTGAACACAAAATTACTGAAATAACTCAATGTTTTCTAATAATTTCAATCTTTTTTTTCCTAAACTATTTCTTAACAATACTGAAGTCAGGGTATTTTCACCTCTTTCCTTTCCCCACATTTTCTTAAGGTTTTAGAAAATGGGAAAGCAGACAAAAAGCAGGAATTAAAAAAAAAAAAGACAAGAGGCTTCCACGCCAGACCAGATTTCTTTTAAAAACAAAAACCCTTCTATTTTGTTTTTATAGCATCACAAAGTAATGACCAATTAAACTCAGCAATTGATTGTCAAAGGTTATCTTGTTTTCTGAGTTCCACAACAAATAACTGTCAGTAAAACAAAGGATCTATTTTTTAATGGAAATCACTATCACTAGGCTTTTTTCAAAATTATATTATTTATACATGAAGCAGAAAACTAGTATCAGGAGATACAAAGTTCTGATTAATTGGATCTACGCTTTTCACCATTTTTCTCAGGATCACGTCTAAGGCTTAGTTGCTAACCTAATCAAAGAGGGAAGCCATATTCACCATCACCGTGATATACCTGATTCACTCCCACAAACCAATTCGGGCCATCCCATACCTCCCTAGTCTGACTCTTCAGCTGGTTCAGCAGGAGCAAGAAATATCGATGAAGCACTGATTGACAGGATTAAAATGAGTGTCTGAGCAGCTTTTTTTTTTTTTTTTTTACAGTCCATTGTTTCTGGAGGGCTACAGTCCATGTGCTTCTCTAGAACAGTCTGGCAAACATCCTCCAACTTTTACTCTGCTTCCCTCCTGTGGTTACTGTTCTCCAGTCCCTTCTCAGCCACTGTTTCTTCAAAGTGTGATCTGGACACCAATTCCAAGACCCCCGCAGCACACCTCAGGAAAGTGCAGTTTTCCTCCAGAGCCCTTTCCCTAAGGTTGCAAATGACTTCTTAATTTGCCACAACTAAGGACACTTTTAATATGATCTTACTTGACTTCTGTCCAGCGTTTAGTATCACTAAGCACCTATAACTCTCCTAAAAGGCAGTGGCATGGTATCATAAAAAGGACATGGATTTTAAGACCTGTTTTCAAATTTCCTGTCCATCTTATAGCCGCTCAGTTTTGCTCTTTTGTAAAATGCTGGTAGTCATTTGTAGGTCATTGTAAGGATTGAGATATCATACTGTAAAACTCCTATTTCAAAAAAAAAAAAAGTTCCTCCAAACCCCAAATGTTGATGATATAAAAAAAAAACAAAACACGTGTCCAGCCAAGACTTCTCATCGCAGCTCCAGATTCCTATTTCAATTTCCCCAAAACTCAAGCCAGACATCGCGTCAGGAATCCTCTCTTCCTGTTTGCACAGTCCCCATAAGTCTAACCAGTCAGTAGGTTCTTCTGTTGTTCTAGTCTGCTTCCCACTCCCTGCACCTATTTCCACTGCCTTGGTTCAGGTTAGGTTGTTGAATCCAACAAACATTTACTGACTGCTACGAGTGCCAAGCACTGGGCTAGGTACAGTGAACATGAAGATGAATAAGATATGATTCCTGTCCCAGAAAAGCTTAAAATTTTCAACTGAGACTAGAATCTAAAGACTATTTGAACCCACGCACCTAGGGTCAATTAATCTTCCACAAAGGAGGTAAGAATATACAATAGAGAAAAGACAGTCTCTTCAGCAAGTGATGCTGGGAAAGCTGGACAGCCGCATGTAAATCAATGAAGTTAGAACACATCCTCACACCATACACAAAAATAAACTCTAAATGGCTTAAAGACTTAAATAGTAAGACATGACACCCTAAAACTCCTAGAAGAGAGCATAAGGCAAAACATTCTCTGACAGAAATCATACCAATGTTTTATTATGTCAGTTTCCCAAGGTAATAGAATTAAAAGCAAAAATAAACAAATGGGACCTAATCAAACTTAAAAGCTTATGTACAGCAAAGGAAACCACAAACAAAATGAAAAAAACCTATGGAGTGAGAGAAAATATTTGCAAATGATGTAACTGACAAGGGCTTAATTTTCAAAATATACAAACAGCTCAAACAACTCAGGAAAAGAAAAAAAAGCCCAACAACCCAATCAAAAAATGGGCAGAAGATCTAAATAGACACTTCTCGAAAGTAGACATACAGATGGCCAAAGTGCACATGAAAAGATGCTCAACATCGTTAATTATTAGAGAAATGCAAATCAAAACTACAATGAGGTATCACCTCACACCGGTCAGAATGGCCATCGTTAAAAAATCTACAAATAACAAATGCTGGAGAGGGTGTGGAGAAAAGGGAACCCTCCTACACCGTCGGTGGGAATAAAATTGGTGCAGCCATTATGGAAAACCATATGGAGGTTCCTCAAAAAACTAAAAATAGAGTTGCCATATGATCCCGCAATCCCACTCCTGGGCATATATCTGGAGAAAATTAAAAAAGATACATGCATCCCAATGTTCACAGCAGCACTATTTACAATAGCCAAGACATGTAAACAACCTAAATGTCTATTGACAGATGAATGGATAAAGAAGATGTGGTGTGTGTGTACACACACACACACACACACAATGGAATACTATTCGGCCATAAAAATGAATGAAATAATGCCATCTGCATCAACACGGATGCAACTAGAAATTATCATACTAAGTGAAGAAAGAAATACCGTAGGATATCACGTATACGTGGAATCTAAAGTATGACACAAATGAACTTATCTATGACACAAAAACAGACTAAGACACAGAGAAGAGACTGATGGTTGCCAAGGGGGAGGGGGGGTGGGGTAGGGAGGGATTGGGAATTTGGGGTTAACAGATGCAAACTATTATAGAGATAATGGATAAACAACAAGTTCCTACTGTATAGCACAGGGAGCTATATTCAAATAATTCAAATTTCAGTGTCCGTAAGTAAAGTTTTATTGGAACAAAGCCATGCTTAAGTATTGTCTATAGCTGCTTTCATGATACGATGGCAGATTCGATGCCACAGAGACCCTATGGCCCATAAAGCTTGAATATGTACCACCTGGCCCTTTAAAGTTTGCTGTTCTACTTAAGACTTCTGTTCTAGAACGTTAAGTAGAACAGGGATTATTGGATAACAAGGTTAGAAGAAAGCTAGGGTCAAGAAGGGCCTCCTATTGAGTTGATCCTCTAAGAGATGAGGAGTTAAATCACAGTTTTTAGCATGAAAGCGTTTTTATTAAAAAGTTCATTTGGGTGGCAGTACAAAGGATAAATTTAAGGGGATGAAAATACTTAAGGGGATGAGGGAAGGCTTCACAGGAAGATCACGTAAAACTTCAGGCAAAAAAGCAAAAGACACTCCAGCACCCCCATCACTGCCAAACTGTCCTCCAACCACTCATCACCGGCTAACATGGTACGCATTGCATTTACCTGTTTACCGACTGACTCCCCCTCCTCAAATGTAGAAAGGTTTGGGAGGGTTTTTCTTAGCTTTATTAAACTGCAGGGCTTATTATCTTCACGCTTAGAATAGTGCCAGACACATGGGAGGCACTCAGTAAACATTTGTTGAATTAATTTAATTAAGGTTTTCGCCAACATTAGATTATAAATTCACAGTCCCTGTGAAGGCGGGGACTGTTCCGTTCTGTTCATCACTATCTCCAGCTCCAGTGGACAAACAGTGAGCCCTCCATCAATATGTGTTGAACAAGGGAATCAGTGAACAAATGAATGGAGAAGATAATCATCCTAAAAAGTAACTTCTTCTACTTTCAAGTCTCATGTCTTTGTTTTCATATCATTTCTTACGTGGACCATCATTAAATATTTGCTGAACGTATGCATCAGTGATAAACAGAGAAGACCATCACCCTAAAATACTCCTCCATTTTCAAGCCTATGTCTTTAACTGATTTCATATCATCTTTCCGTGCTCCTTTTACCGTCTCACGGGGGCAGCTGGCACCAGTTTGCTGTAAGTCCTTAAAAATTGAACCCGGGAGACGCACTAGGTGTCCTATGTTGACCAAACCTTCCGAGCAAACAGAGTACAAAAGTAAAAGTAAACACGACCAACAGGGTGAGAAAAGCACACTAACAGCAATTCGGAAAGCAGCGCGCGGGGAAGGCTGCCCAGACCTCAAGATTCCAAAGCAGGGCCCGCGCAGGGAGAGCAGGTGATGTAGGTTACAGACCCGCACCCCAGGCGGGGGCACCTAGCCAGCGGGGGCGGCAGGCACCGCAGGGTAACAACGGCCTAGCCACGTCGGCCCGCGAGCTCCCCACGCCCCCCGGCCCCTTGCAACCCCGGCACCCCCCACGGCAACACACGGCCAGCTCCTGCCCGCTCACCTTCAGCCCCTGCGAGTCCATGGCTTCCGAGGCCGAGCCGCGTGCCTCCCGGGCGCGCGCCTGCCGAACCCCAGCAGAAGAGCCAAGGGTCTCAGGGTCTCGCAGCCCAGGCCCAAACCAGCTTGGGCCGCGGCGGGAGGGGCGGGACGGGGCGGGGCCGCGCCGCCATTGGCTGCCGGCGGAGGGGGCGGGCCCTCGCGGCAGGGATTGCGGGGGTCGAGGCACGGGCAGGGACCCCGAGGGAGGGCGGCGGGTGGGGAAGGGGGAGCGACCAACCGGATGCTGGGTGAGGCGGAGGTCAAACAGCGAAAAGACCCTAGGGGCACCGTGGGTGGGCGGGCCTGAGGATTAGGAATTAAAGAATGAAGGAAATGGGGGAGGACGTAGGAAAAAGGGCAAGTTTGTTTCCCATCTCCGGCTACAAAGCAAGACACCATTTTCTACACGTTTGTGTAGAGGCGGGTTCCCGCAATGCGGCTATTTAGAAGCCCTGACCAGCTCAGAGAAAAGCCTTGAACTTTAACATGTAGTGGTTGCATTATGGCCACAAGGTGGAGCAGAAAAATCACAAGTTCTTAACAGAAAGTGATGAGCTTCTTGCGCCCATCTTTGCAGGCAGTGCTGCAATCCCGTGTGTTTTGTTAGAAAGCACGTTAGTCTTTTTTTTCTTTTTACCAGCCCTGATAATGGGAGGAACCAATGAAGTAAACCTATTTTTTCAGTTAAAAAAAATAATAACACTGCTGATTTTAAACTGAGAATAAAATTAATCCCTACGCAAACGTTTATGTTTGCACCGATCAGGCAACTGTCAGTTGCTCGTAGATTTCTTCAGTTATTTAGTGAATTGAATTGAAATAGAATGAACAAAGAGATTTCCTATTTCTGCTTAAAGATATTTTTAAAATAAGATTTGAGGTTTAAGTAATCTTTGTGGAATCTTTTACATGGATCCCAAATTTCAATCCTAGTTCTAAGTATCTTACTTTAGTTGATGTGATTCATAGTTGCCTTAATCAGATTTTAAGTTTGTTAAGCAGTCAACGAACATTAACCTTTTTTCCATGCCAGTAGGTTAGGTAATGACAATCTTGAGGGAAAGGGTGAGTATGACTACAGACTTCAGTGCTAGGCAATATTTCTCACTGGTTTCCCTTAAAAGTGCATTCTACCCAGAGAGGCACATATTATTTTCATGAGATTGCTTTTGTTTGTTTCCATCATTCATAGTCAAGCTAAATATTTGTGATAATGGACAGCTGGTAATACGTGTTGGTCTGATTTTCAAAGCCTGTGGATTAATCTGCACTTGGTATGCAGCAGCGAATATCAGAAACTAAGATGCTCATCTGAGTATATAATCTTAACCTGTATACTTGGGGTTTCAAGTGAAGAGTTCATCCAGAAGAAAATTTCTGAGGATCATAGTTCAAGGAAGAGATGATCAAGCTACCTTTCTGAGATCTTTAAAGTCTAAACTTCGGCTGTCAGACTACTGGAAGGCTGTACACTTGGGCCTTATTAATTTAGCCCTTTATAAAATTTCCTTCGTTGAATTTTGTTCTAAGGTTAAAGTATTTAGCACAAAACACCATGCCTGGCACTCCATGAGTGTTTGTTGGATTAAAACTACTTTGGGAATTTGCTTTGACGCTCCTGGTAAACTTGTTCCCTGCATAAAGCCTCACGTGAGTAGTTTCTTTTGGATCTGAGGCCAGGAAAAACTCTGTCTTCCCTGAAAAACTGAGGTGTTCTTTGGCTCAAGCATTTCTACTGGCTCACTTTTACCTACTAACGTTTCAGTCTGCCATCTAAGACCTTTCATCATCTTTGAAGCCTTATCTCCTACTTCTCCATTCATAGAGCCTTTATTCCAGGCAAATGGGACAACCATTCCTTCTTCTGAGTGCCTTCCCTTACATTGCTCTGAGCTCTTTCTCCATCTGAAAAAAGAAACCTACTCTTTTTTTCAGAGTTCATCTCAAATCTCATTGTGTATGAAGCCTTTAGGGATGGCCATAACCGATTGGATGTGTGAGATTGCCTGGTGCAGTAGCAAGAATATGGTCTCTCAGACGTGAGATGGAACTCCCGGCATGCTATTATCTTTGTGACTCGGGCAAGTAATTTCCTGAGCTTAATTTTCCATATTTACTAAAGAAATTAAACACCTAACCACATACGAAAAGTTCCTGACACATAACAGACATAACCATTAATTTCCATGAAACACATAGTGCTCTGTAAGACTTAACACACCTTTACATTTTTTGCATTATAGCTATGGTGTATTTTTTGTTTGTTTAATCTTTTCTACTAAATGAGGAGTACCTTAAAGCCACCCAATATAGTGAGGTGGGTAACAGCTTGGTCCCTGGAGCTAGGCCATCTGCAATCAAATCCTGATACCACCATTCCCAAGTTGTTTACTTAGAAAAACTACTTAACATCTCTGTGCTTCAGCTGTAAAGTGGGACTAATACCTCAGAAAGCTGTTAAGAAGATTAAATGAGTCTCTGTGTTCATTTAATGAACACAGCAGTGTTAGATATATGGTAGGCGTTTAATAACTTTAACCTATAATTATTTGTACTCCCAACTACTCTGAACACAGGGCACAGTATTGATTCCATCAGCATTTAGTAAATCTTATAGGACTGTTGAAGCCCTTCAATTGTGCCTCTGTTTAGCTTTCTTCCCCCCAATTCTTACACCGATTCACTTGTATATATATTATTTTATCATTTATTCGAGAAGTTAAAGGAAACCCTTAAGAAAAATAGGTGGTTCTGGTGAACACAAAGGTAAAAGTAAGTACACAGAAAATAAAACAGAGACAAATCTATGACCTCATTAAATTTGAGAGCTGGGAAGAACTTTAGAAACGATTGTCCAATCTCTTTATTTTACAAATGAAGCTCAAAGATATGAAATAATCTACCCAAGTTCTCACAGTTTTCTACTCCCAATCTAGCCTTCAAAGCAGTTATGAATAATAAAGAGATGAGGTGTTTGTCTTTTCTTCTTAAGGCTATTTTACTATAAAGTTGAAGCAGTAAATGAGAGTAAATATGTATGAAATCCAAATAAATTGGCACAGAGTTTAGTCTCACAGGTGATACCATGGAAAAGTTAGAAGTTAACTGAAGTCAAAATTGCTGAATCTAAGTTAAGTCTCTATCCCTTAATAACTTGGCAACTTTGGGCAAAGTTGTTAACTTTTCTCTTCTTTAGTTTATACATTTACAGTGGGCAGTTGGGACTAGGATTGTAATATTTGTTTTGTTAGTGTATAGACTAAATGAGATTATGTGAAAATATTTCAAAAATTGAAAACCACCTCGTAAAAGTTCATACCACAGTTATAGGAAAGCTTCTTACCTAAATGAGCTGACTATGGGGCAAGACATCTTACCTCCCTGACATTATCATCCAGCCTTCCGTATGCTATCTAGTGCTCTTTTCTTCTCCAAATAGCACAGCACAAACGTACCATTCTTTTGAATTGTGCATGAAGCATGGTGTCTGCTGATGCAAAAAATAAGATGGTTGTCATAACTCATCCCTTTAAAATTCTCCAATTTTATTCATTTAAGTAAATTAGGGAGACGATGATAATGGTCAGTCACTTACCTTTCACGTTGTTTTTTTGCTAAATGATACTGTGGAGAAAGTTGAGGAAGTGATCAGGGTTCTAACCATGTGTTACTTAATCATTCATTTAGTCACCAAACGTTTAGTGAGTGCTGATGGCAGAGAATAAAATTCTTGTCTTCTCCTCCCAGAATTTAAAGTCTAGTAAAAGGAGACAGACATTGAAGAGATATTCACAAAAGGAAATGAATAAATGACAAGTAGTGACAGCTTTAATAGCTGTTTTAGTAAGTGCAATAAACAGACTAAACTGTGTGGCCTTTGCCCAGTTGTAAGGAGTAATATATCAATAATGAAGTGAAACTCACATTAACTTGTTGCAGTCCAGGGAATCCTTCCACTCAATTCCTACAATTAACGTCTTTTAGACCCCTGAATGATACTTTGTTTTTCTTTAAAAATACCTGAGCAGCTCAGGTATCTGATGGCTAAGAACTTCTGATAACAGGAAATTTGCTTTTTGCTTACCTGAACTAGCAGATGTAACAAATGTTTCTACTTAAACACCATGACAGAGACTTACCAGGAGTTATTTTTTTCTTGATGTTCTTGACTATATCTTGACATTTCATCTATGCAAAAGTAGGAGACAGAAAACACAGAAAAATAGATTTCAAAAAGAGTCTGGTATTTTGAAATAGAAACAATGAATTATTTAAATGTTTACAACTGTGATATACTGAATAGCTTGTCAAGATGCCATCTGTCTTTCCTTCTACTCCTTTAAAGAACCTTTTTCTGGTCGATAGAGTAAGAACAAAGAATAGTGATCACTCCCCCTCTACCTGGTGTGACATTGAGGTAGACAGTATATTGCTTTAGATTTTACTCACTTAGGTCCAAGCTCACATCTGAAAAATCTTCCCTGACATCAAATTCACACTGCACATCTTCCTAGACACTGTTATTTCTGGATGTGAGATAACCAGAGCTCTGTTCTAATTTTTATCTTAAGGTTGAGAATCAGGCCTTAGCTTTCTAGGTGTCTGATTCTGGAAACTTGGTTTATGGCAGTGCTTCCAAGCAGTCACAACGTTCCTTGGAGTCAATACACGCTAATGTCAAGTGCTCAGTCTGTAAAAGGAAAGGAACCAACAGCGACTTCGCGCCTGCCCGGCAGGTCGGTTGCGCTGGATGTTATGCTCTATAGCAGGATCTTCTTTGGGTACCTCAAATGCAATTCTTCTCACTCATCTTCCTTTCTCTCCTTTTTCCCTTCGTCTCTCCCCTCCCTGCATCCGTTTTAGCATCTGTGTGTTAACAGCCGCTGTGTAGATGCCTCTACTCCACCAGGTTGCCTCTTCCTAGCTTCTGGTTCCGACTTGCTTGCCCTAAATACCTCTCACTCCGCCAGCCTCACTTCTTTTTTTTTGCGGTACGCGGGCCTCTCACTGCTGTGGCCTCTTCCGTTGCGGAGCACAGACTCCGGACGCGCAGGCTCAGTGGCCATGGCTCACGGGCCCAGCCGCTCCGCGGCATGTGGGAT